CACATTTCAGATGCCTGAGTACATATAAGAGCGTACAGTGTCTATGCAAAATCAGTGCGAACAAGTAATATTGGTAAATATATCTGTTGTAAATTGTTTTACTAAATGTGCATCGAATAAATAGTTGAATAAAATAGTGTTCAGGTGTAAGTTATGATATCGTGTGCACCGAGTACAATAAATATACACTCATACAATGTGTCGGAGGAAATCCTTCGAGATTTAAATATTTATAAGTCTTGAACAATTATTATAATATTTTACGTTTGACTATTATTCATACGAGTTGTATACGAATTAGAAAAAACGAGTTTCTGAAATTGTATTTCAAGTATTCCTCGTCGAATCGCATAAAAAACCTTAATTTAGTGTTTACAATTATTAGAAATATTGTTTTCCTTTACTGGCATACATATATTTTTAACTAAACGGCACACTGGTCGTTCGGTCCAATTGATTACTTCTTCAAAACATTTCCAGATTGACGTTTTCGTCGAGTTTCTGCTGCTCTGAAAAAGTACACACAAATCGCCTTAAACATTTGATATTATTTCTTTCGAAACATTAATGAACACTGTAAGAATTTATCCGAAAATTGCGCCAGTGTGGTATTTTTAATATAAACGTTAATTTCACACACTAGTAGTGTAATTTTGACATAAAGTACCGATAATTCTTCCGGAAATATAATATATCGCTTTTTATCAAAAGTTGTTTCGTTATTTGCGTCAAAACGTATGTATGAAAATTCAGTCAGCGTTTTCAAGAGCCAACAAGTTTTTCGCAATTAGATTAAACAACTTAAAAATCGTCAGACTAATAATTGAAGTGTTCAAAAACCACTGTCGTTTAGGAATTTCGAATGTCATAATTACTACACCGGCGCACGACATCCTGGAAAGTAAAAATTGCGGCGCCGGATGCTTTTCAACAGAACTATCTGACATCATGACGAATGTATTGACGACACGTTGTTTGCGATCGAATTCTCCGAACTTTTTAGGCAACGGATTCTTGTAAAAAACGTAATACTGCGATGTTTACGATTTCGTTTTAGGTGCAACGTCTGGGGAGCGGTTGACTCATAGTGTTTTCCCTTTGTCATTAAAAGAGCGTTTAATTCGGTTTTAGATTGGAGAACAAACCAGAGTAAATTGATAATTTCACCGTTAATCATATCGCGGCGGTGGTCTGAAACAAAAGTGTTGTTGTTCGATATTAGTCAGCCGCCGGTCGACAGCTAAAAAACAGCCGAAGACGTTCGTGCGCAATCTAAAATTACATCGAATGTGCATCGACCTTAGTCACTGCGGTCTGCAGAAATAAAGAAAAATAGATAAATAATATGAAACGAGATAGGCGCGCTATCGTTCGGCGTCACCGTCTCATTGGCGGCGATAAAAAACGTACTCTCAGTGAAAACGTAATCCCTTTGTCGCCTGCGCGACGTTAAGTACAGTGACTCACACGTTTCGCCGAGAAAAATACACGGCAATTATTTTCCTTTTATTCTTCGAACAACAATGCAAACAACAACAATGATTTAGTTTTAAAAAACAGCTCGACGAATATTTTGTTCGTGCAAAGCGCCTTAAACAAAGAGTGCCGCAATGATTTACACGCCGAGTTGTTTATAAGTATTATCTCGACCCATTCGACTGAATCTTCAGTATTAAACGAATAAACTCGAAATGATCTTCGGCGGCTCACACGACTTCGGGAAAGACTCGTTTCGCGAATTTTTTATTATGATTATTTTTTACACTAATAGTGTTTCGATGAAATATACATAAAGTCGACATGTACCGAGAGATTTCCTCTCGTTTCGATACGAATTGGCCCAATTTCGAGACGTTGCCGTTGTATTGTCATTGTCGTGCAATTAATTCGCATAATTTCTTTTAAAATACAAGTACAATAAAAATAACAACGTGATTTTTTTTCAGCTGCGCGAAACGATTTTGAGATAACATGTTTAGTGGAGTTGCCTCCGAAATATTTCCGAATTCAGTACTGACGACGATAATTGCGTTTGAACGATAAATAGTAGCGCTTAGTTAAATATAATTTCGGTTAAAAAATTTAAATGTTCAGAAATATCGGTTGTGATAAACACTGTCTGATTTACGATATACTCGTGCAGTTTTTTCACTGTGTCGTAGTCAAGTATTGAAGACAATTGTGTAATTAAAATCAAGTGCACAAGCTTATGAGACGGCAAGGAAAAAAACGCCTTTTTTCTCTGCACTCTTCTGCCCTTTGCGGGCGTAAACCGATAAATTTATCAATTAAAAACAACACTTGCGGTCCACACTGGACAATAATAGTCGTGTCATCTCTCGAGTTCAATAGTTTTAACTGTGTTTGAGTTTCGCCAGTAATTCCAAGCGACCTCGAGCTGTACTTACCGATCCATCAGCAGACGGATTAAATTGTGATCGATGGCACTGCTGTTTTTTAACAGCTTCTGAAGTCTTGGTGCGTTAACACGAACGAATATAATAACATTGTCGCTGACAAATTTCGAGTCAACGACCTGGCGGTCTAAACAAACATCAGTTCAAAATAAAGACAATAAAATATTGGCAGCATTCCTCCACAGTAATCCAGGGGGTGCTAAAATTGTGCAAAGCCCTCCCAATCCACCACATTAACATAGTTGTGTACAACTCAACTAATGATTATCGGTGACACGACATTGAAGAAATGTACGAGCTGCGCAAAATAACGATTTTGTGTTTGCTATAACATCAGTTTAATGTGAACCCAAAAAAAATTGAAATAGAATAAAACTGATGGTAAATTTTAATGAATAAAAATGATTTATCGAAAACACGAATGTAAAAGTTCAAGGAGCGTCAAGTCTAAATAGCACCCCCCGCAGTTGCGCCGCTGCTTATCCATTTCGACGAACGCAGTTTGTTTATGACACTTACGACTTTTTGATCACTCGCAAAGGCGTCGTACAATAATCATTTGATGCGTTACGTGCAAATCTTAAAAGTATTAGTGTCAACCTGATTTAAAAATACTGAAATATCCGGTAGAACTCTGGAGGGCGATTTCTTAATTAAAATCCGTTTTCTTGCTCACTGATTTTGGTAAAATTGTCTATTAAAAACATGACACACAGTTGCGACAAAAGTGCGTTGGTAGTGACGACTTAATCTAACGTCGAGTATTAATTAATGAATAAAAAAGTGCATTGTATCCTTTTGCATGTACAAGAGATGAAAGTTACTTCGATAAATTTAAATTAATTTTTGAAATTGCGCTGCGACAACCTGACGGAACAGGAATGTAAACATACTAATGCACACAATAATCAATGCGATTCACTGGAAACTTGTCGAAGACCATTTGAAAAGTGTACAGTTCGTGGAACCGGAACCCATAAATTAACACTGGAACCGAGTGATCATAATCCAACAGCCAGACGTCCGTGTTCGTAATTATAATTTATTTGGTGGCGCAGACGGTATGTGATTAATGAAATAAGAAAGAGCCCTTGTATGACACTTGATTCGACATGCGCAACTGACCAACGACATGATATAATCGGCTATTAGTGTTAAGCGCAATTAGTCCATTTCGCGGCGTGTAAAATCGCAGGCACCTTCTGATCTCCTGGTACCGTTTTTTCCGTAATTCATTTGGCGCCGTCGTTTTCATCGCGTACCTAACGGATGGTCACAATTTAACATAAACCTCCTGAATCCCTAGTACCGTTTTCCCACTTCTTCTCTTCGATGACTATTGTGCGACGTACAAAACGATCGCGTCCACTGTTGTCAATTAAGTTGCCTATACACAATTCCTTCTCTATTGATTTTCCCCTAACTATGCACTATAATTGTTTATTTATATATTATAATTGAGATTGTTGACAAAATTAATTGAAGGGTCACTTAAAATCCGTTTTTATATAATGGACTTCAGAAGAAGAAAACACTATAATTTAAGCATGCATATAAAAATTATATAATTTACATTTACTACAATTTTATTAATATCATATAAGTTATAAGTGCCTATAAGTGCTTATAAGTAAGACTTAAATTCTTTCAATAAATTATTTTTATGCAACATTACTACTTTTTTAAAACTATTCTGAAATAAATTTACTTAGGGATCATATGATTATTGATCTATTGTTACTTAATAACATATTTTACGTTAGTTTAAATGTAATTGTGGTATGTAGTACCAGCGAAAATTAAGCGCATTTATTTTCTCGTGTTCAAAGGACATATTTTTTTTTTACTCGATAAATAAATTTACTTATACCTTTTTATGAATATTTATTGGGTATTTAATTTAATGAGAACTATTATTCAAATACATAGCTTTGGTTACTTCGATTTTTTTTATCAGACCTTAGGTACACTTTTTACTCCATTAAATATGAATATTTCCAACCCTTTATGTTCAGTTTTAAAAAACTGCATCTATTAAGTTGTTTTATAAAAGAGGTGATTATTTCAACTTTTTCAAAAGCTTTTGTAAACTATTTTTAAATGAAAATATTTTTATCTGAAATTATGATTTACCGAAAAAAAATAATGAATAGAACGTTACGAACTATTTGTACATCTTAATTAAACTTTATGACAGACGTTATTTTCCATATGTTCCAGTAACATTCACGAATCTTGATGACACGTTACCTTAAATGTATTTTACTTGTTAGAGGTGTGTTTATATTTAGAATCAATTAAACTAGATCGAGACATTTTATATTGACATCGTAAGCTGTTGCCAAAGGCAAATATTGTCTAATAGTGAACACACGACTCTTCAATGTGTAATGGCGCAAAAAAAACTTTAATCAGAATACTTGAGCTTAAAATATGTAACCTTTTTTATAATATTTCCAATTAAACTCATGTCGAGTAATAAAATTGACGGCATGCCGTGCGGCATTTTCATTGTTCATTTTATGCAATATTTAAATAGCAATATAATCAATTTGCTATTCATTTTCAAATTTTTTTTTTTAGCAAGGTTACTTGACCAAATTTGGATATCTACCAGAGTCTGACTTAGAAACGGGAAATCTTCGAACGGAAGATCAATTGCACGATGCTCTTCGAACCCTACAGGTAGACTGTTTTCTATTTTATTACCTCTATTGTCATATTTTTTTTATCGAATTATCTTTTTATGTAACATTTAGCGTTTTGGGAATATTCCCGTGACTGGCCAAATGGATGCGGCCACCAAAGAGCTGATGCGAAAACCCAGATGTGGTCTTCCTGACGAAACTTCAAACATAGGAAATCGAAAAAAACGGTACACTTTGCATGGACAAAAATGGCAACACGTAAATTTAACCTGGAGGTAAGTTAATATGTTACAATTTCGATGAAATACGAGTTAGACGATAGTTTATTCGATAGTTAATTGTTTAATCTCAGTTGGAGATTAGTTTTTATACATTTTGTTGTTATATTAACGCCATCTAGCGGAAAATATATTAACTTAATACTTAATAGTAATAACATTAGAGTGCGCTAAAGATTTCGAGTCCACAACAAAACGAAATATTTATTTATTAATAACATTTAAATAATAGCGAACTTATTATTATTGTTCCAGTTAAATAGATTTTATTTTAGTTAACGTGTTTATAAAATATTTTTTAAAAGTTCTAATATTGTAAAAAATTTTGAAAATTAGCGATTTTTAAATTTGTAATTTTTTTGGAGGTTTCCCCCATTTACGGGGAACGAGGGAAATTTTTCCTATTTTTGAGGGTAATGTCTTCGACTAGATACGATTTGTGATCTTTTGATGTATCGTCGAAAGAAAAATAGACGATTAAGAAAAATAGTAATTTTACAATAAATGTATACATTTTTGACCAATTTTTTCATACACAGTTACCCACAACAAATTTGGATTTTCTCAAATTTGAATAATATTTTTTAATTATTTTCACGTAAGACGTAGCAAAACCTTCTTGTTATAAGTATGATTAATGATTAAATTTACTTTTTTTAAATTAAGATTTTTTTTTATCGAATTATAATTTTCTTACTTTCGGTCAAAATAACAGTTATTTTTGTAACTTGAGTAAGTAATCAATACTTAAGAGTTCTGGTTCTTTAATAACACACAACAATTTTAAATAATTTTTACTCTGCGTATAAACATCGCATGTTTAGTTTTATGTTAATCTTATAGATAATTCAAAACTATTACACATAAGTATTATAAAGACATCACTAATCATATAATTATCCAATTCCATCAATCTTAATTTTACTTAAACACTTTCATTTCAACTTTTATATTAGAACGTTTTTTCATTGTGATTATAATGTACACTGCTTTAGTTTATTCCTTTCATTTAAGGTCAAAAATAATGCAAAAACTTAAAATGCCCTTTTTATGACACAACAACAGCTCAATGTTGACATGAATTGTTGTCCCTTCTTATAACATAACCTGAACATAAGTCTGTGCAGGCATTTTTTTGTCTACTCGTGAGACTAATTTATCAACTTCTATTGTTTTAACTGGATTGAATGGTACAAATCGTTTGGACGAAATCATTAGTCATATGCAATCAAATTCGAGCTCACATGACATATTTATTTTTAATATCTTTTAATCTTGTTAACATTAAATATAATGATATTATATATTGAAGTTTAAACTTAAAAAATGTATGCGACATTCTACGAAATTCATGACTTTTGATGTTTTTCTCAGGAACTAAATAATATACTTATGTTTATCAAGTTAAAATGGTAATTTCCAAATGTTATTGAAAACATTCATAAACAAAAAAATATGTACTCGATTAGTTTTAAATACCAGCGTTTGTTTTCATTCTATGAAGAATTCTGAAATAAAAAAATTAATGCTATCAAAATACAATTTCTTTGAGATTTAATAATTGATTATAGTGATGATTTATTCGATTGATAACAATTTAGTAAATATTTAAGGAGACAGCTTTCGCAACTTTCTGATGTTAAAAAATAAAAAAAATAAGATAAAAAAATGTCTACATTTTTAAGTTTGAAGTCTAGCAAATTTAATAATTAGTAGGACACAATTATTCTTATGCTATAAACTATATATTTATTTTTGTATAATAAATATTTTATGGAATCATTAGAAAATTTTACTTTGAACAGTGACTTTTATCAAATATTTTATAGCGTATCTTATTTAATAGCAAATTGGCTAACTGGTTAATTTGAATATCCAATAAAGTATTGATTTTGTTTTTACGAGTAATCAAAATTTTTTTTTACTGTAATAGTGTCAATTAAATTATTATTTCGTTTTGAAAGGAATACAAAATATTTTAATTAAATTTAATATTACTCAATGAATTAACTGTAATATCTAATATACAATTTGGAAAGACGACAATGAAATAATATATTTTCAATAAGTAGGAAATGGCCGGAGAGTAAATATTTTCAAATGAAAAAAAATAGTGGTCCTAAAAAAATGGTCTGTTTATAGATTTCTCAATCGAGTTATGTATAGTATGGACTGCAAGTAAACTTTGTTTCATTAAATTGGCTATCAAATTGTTCAATTAATACTGTCATCCTATGTCGATTAGATTTTCAAAAGTAATCCTTATTTTTCACACCACACAAAACACTTAATATTTCTTAATATAACACTCGTTAAAACACCCTAACTAATTTTGTAAGATCATACTGAGTTCCATTGTTTACAAATTTGATCAAATATTTACAGTACTTGTTTGCTACACTTATACGTTTGGCCCCAGCATTTTATTAATAATAGACTTTGTGTCATGACATTAATATATTTTTTGTTGTTTTGTAAATATTTACCTAATGTTTGAACAATATAAATTCGTAGAAGAAATTTTAATATTTCTTTTTGGGATTTCAGTTTATCAAAAATAATCAATTTTATGGCGGAAAGAAAACTAGTCATATTCTTCATGTAACAAATTAAATGATGAGATACGTTGCTCAAATTTAAAAAGCCACCCTCATTTTATCTTTAAATTTTTAATATACAGTATCTGTAGGGACTATCAAGCTAGGATTGATAAATATAAAACCCGGAGACAATATTTGATGTATAACTTATACAGACCTTAAAAGATGTATTAGCTGTTTGCTTATTAGAATTTTATTTTGGAAGATTCTATTAAATTTAGAGCCTTGTATCACGTTCTACCAATAATGTTATGAAACTGTAAAACATTTATAAGACTCCCAGTTAAGTGTATCTATTTATTTATGTAAATTACATATGCTTGTACGGCAATTGACAAGATAATCATATACACATAAAATATATCATAACAAATAGTACAGTGTACAGGTAATATAAAATATTACAAGTTGATATAAAGTATTTTTTGTCAAATTGGCTTCTAATTATCATACTATTTTTAGTATATTCATCGGTGTAATATTTTATGCCTTTTAACTTGAGTTTGTTTTACATGTAGCTTTTTTTTCTATTATACTGGTTTAATTTCAAAAGCGTCGGTTATGCCGTCTAATAAAATCGGTGTATTATCATAAGGTTCAACGACGTTCTCATTAAATCACATCAATATACTGTGTAACGATTAAAATTTCCTATTAACCAAGCAGCAGTCGCAATTACAGCGACTTAACGATTTAAATTAACTAAAATAATTTTCCAATGACTTGTCGCCTAACCAGAATTTAAGATACACTTGAAATTGTTTGATATTAGATAATTCGTTTATTCAATTTACTCTTTAATTAAGAAATCTAAAATCACTAAAAAAATAAAATATGATATTATCTGTATAGATATTAACCTTACTTTCTCATACACATATTAGCAGGTACAGCAGAGATTTTTAAAAAATGTTTAATTCTAAGAAACTTTAAATATTCTAAGAAATATGGGTTCTTATTGTTGGTCTCGGCATTTTTTTTTTTTAATGAACGATGAGTTCCAACATTAACACGCCAAAAAACTACATCAACTAAAAAGAGAAACGAATCATAAAAATAAAACGATCTTCAAAATCATTCTACGAATTTTCTACCGTAGTATTTTTAACGATAATTTTATCAGAACTCGACTTGTAGACAACCTATTTTTATACACATTATGTATCATGTATGTGGTAAAATATTATGCCATTATAAAACTAACTCAATATTGGTCATGTATGTTTCTTGTAAAAATACATTTTAAAGACTTTGATTCAATAAAAATAATTATTATAACTGATTAAAATAATTTCTCGAATTGTAAAAGTTTCCGGCTAGTCATTTAAATTTAAGGACAATTATCCACTTATTCAACGCTATTCTACTGCTGTTGTAGAAATTCAATCACTTATACAATATTATAACATTTTAATAATACAGAATATGCAACGTTTTCAATTAATTAATTAAATTCTATCCTTATGACCCGCGTAGGCGGAGCCAGTCGACTTTTAAAGGCCCTTATGACCTTTAGCTTGTTGGCAACCGCGTTACGGACCATGACGGTATTTTCGCAAAGGTCAGGGTTTTTGTCAATACATTGCCTTCTTGTCGCTATCTAATGCTTCAAGTTTTTAATGTGCAATTCCCAAGTGGATGTTTTGTACAGTGAACAAATATCAGTAAAATTATTATTTTTTAATATTTAAGAAATTCAAAAAATCGAGTTTCACTCGATGTTATTGCTTCTCGTCTAAAATTTATTTTGAAATATAAAAATATGCCACATTTATTAACCATATAGTAACATAAAACAGATTTCTCAGCTGCACCAAGTAAACGTGGGCGGATAACAGTGTGGTGGATCGAGTTTCGTTATCAGTAATAGTACGGCAACAGGAAATCTACGATAAAACAGCACATTGCCAGTCCATCTGTCAGGAAAATTGGGTTAAACCTTACAATTTAATTATGATTTTGAAATACCGTTATTTCTTCCATTTTTTATGCTTAAATGAAACGCACATCAACGAGAATTCGAACCTCATATTTCTCTAATTAAACCGTGAATACGCTGAAAGTTAAAAGTAAGAAGGAAAACAATTGATAAGGAATGATGATTATTTTAAGTAATTTAATTAAACTATATGATGTTCTCATGAGACAAAATGCATTTAACTAATGCAATTCATATAAAATAGATGGTATAAAATTACTATTCAGTTCTATAATATTGAATTTATTTGCTTCTATCAGTTAACATTTTACACTTTTAACATTTTAAGGAATAGTTAATTTCACTAATTGTAAGTGTAATTAATTGTTTGACAGAGATATTTAAATGAAATAAAAAGTATTTGCAATTCGTTAAAATAATATGAAAATTTGTCAAAAATAAGGCTTTGAAGAAAAATAAATTGCATCTTTCTTTTATATTAATTAGGACATTTTCTCTTAGAAAGTTACAATAATAAATTTGGTTTCGTTATCTTCACTTTAAATGTATTTTTGTTGTTATCAATCCAGTGCCACAATAAATAATATTTATATTCATAAGACTACAAACAAAGTAAGATTTTTTTTATCGCTTTTAACATGGAATGGAACACACAATTTGTTTGACATGCACTGTAGGGGGGAAAGGGTTCTCAAAACGATTCGGTGTGGCCTGGTAAAATGTTGACATGGTAGGGGGAATGAACACCCATCAACGCGCGGTACGTTAGTCTCAATATTGTGATAGCTGTTCTGTTCACACACGTGTTCTGTCCTGATGTCCCTTTTTATCGCGCTTTCCTAAAGGGGCGTCCCGCTCTCTTGGCCCTATATAAGAGCAACTATCCGACTAGCGATACTCACTACCCTCGGCGACAGTTCTCGTCATGGACTCTGTTGCGGACAGTGACTCTGTTGCCACCCGCATAACAAACATAGGTAAGTACACACTTGTACTGATTCTGTCCGTTGTAATTCTTTTTATTACAATTTTTTAAATAACATTAAATAAGGTCTTAGATATTTTCTGTAAACAATTATTTTTTTGAGATTATTGTTTTATTTAAAATTAGATATTTATATCTTATGTTAAAAAAATGTATTTAAACACATATTTTTATTAAAATACATGTATCAATTAGCATGCAATCGTAACTCCAAACGTTTAACCCTATCGTGAAATTATTAATCTTTCGTGTTATTTTTCGTAATCTCATCAACCAATTGTGTTTCAATAACTATTGTAGAGAAACTACGCACAATCTCATTACAATATAAGTTACATCTGAAAAACAACTCCGTCTTCTACTAGGAAATGAATATGTTTATGAAAGTATGTTTACATAGGTTCTCAACAAAGGTTATTTTGAAATGTAAAAAAAAATTCCTTATTTTAATGTTGAGATGATTTTTCCGGGTACCATCGAATTATTATCACGAATGCAATTAAATTTTCAATTTTAATACTTTTGTTTGTAATAACAATTATATATATATATATAATAATTATTAATACATACGTATATATGTATATATTGAGTTTAATTCCAACCTATTTAATATAATAGAGGAAAAAATGATTTCTCTCGTGTGCAATATATCTGATACTCTTGATATAGATAAGCTAAAGCCGGAAAAACGAAGGATAAAAATGTGGTTATTCAAAAGTATTCATTCAATTGAACCCACTCCAAAGTCTCTTTTCATTAAGTCGCTGCCCCGGGTAGACTACCGCGCTCACTTCATTCACTCATCTTCTTTCAAAAGCGTATATTTATTTTCTTTTTTTTTATAACACCACCGCTGCCACTCCGCACATGTTCACCAACCCTTCAATATACCGTAAGATTTATGAACAACACTTGTCTCCCGCGGCTGCCAATCAATGCGCTATAAAATGTTTACCGATGGATTTATCGCTTTCAATATAAAAAAATGTGCAATGTAAGACCAACGGAATAACAAAATGGATACTCAGAGTTACTCACTCAATTTGGATGTGATGTTCAAATTGGTGCCACCACAACCTCCTTGAGTGAGCGATTCGGTGATCTGCTTACTCGTCGTTAGCGACCAGTCATAAAAGACTTATTTATTATCCGACGGTGTCATTTGAAAATATTCTGCAAAATGTTTAGTGTTTGATAATATCGCAGGTTAGTCGTACAGAAGTAGGTTAAAAAATAACAGTCGCGTTATAAAAAATAAACGTTTGGATTAAAATGAATCGTTCAATTTCCGGTAAAGTCCGTTTTTATGTTTAATAAAATTATGTCAAATCATTTGTCGTGACTGAAAGTTCAACCCTCAGTTTTTATACGCCCCTCGGCCAATAAACGTTCCTAGAACTCTTCATTAATTTTAATCTTTATAACTGCGTCCAGTACTATATGACGAATGACTGTAAAAAATATATTTTGACCTTTTAGTCATTCGATATTTGAGAGTAAATTAAAATAAAAATCGTACTAATGGTTTTTTTTATAATCAGCTTATACAGCCTTCAGGAAATAAATAACACTTAGCAAGTAAAATAAAATGTTATACTGATACGATTTATAATATAACCAAAGGGTATAATTTTTACTAAAGTAAAAATAAAACTTTTGTTCATTTTATTTATACCTATTTAATTTTTATTTTTTTTATAAATATCAATTAACCAGCTTGTCAAAAGTTTATTTAGCAACACTCTCCCAAATAACCATAGACGACGCCTTTGCCGAAACTGACGAAGAAATTTATTAAAAAAATAATAATAATACAATTAAAAAATAACGTGTAAAAGAGAGGCCCTTACTGTAAGTCTTTCTTTTAATGTAATTATGTAATCAACGTTTTAACCATGTTTTAAAATTTTATTTACTGTGTATAACAGATTGTATATATTCATAAAAATAAATTTTTTGTTTATTTAATATAAAAAATAATTTTTATATTAAAGTGAATAAAAAAATAAATAATAACATTAGAATGTTAACAAGAGAATTTCGGTAATGTCTAAAGTACAGTTAAGATATTTTCAAAAAATATAGGATAATTAATAAGAAAAATACTTTGCTTGTTTTTTATAACTATGATCATTACGAAATTGCAAAGAAATTATTTTTAAAGGTAATCATTTTGGTCTTTGATCCACATTTAATAGAAAATAACAAATAAAATACAATAAAAGATAAAGTTTTACGTTTTCAACATTTGTCAAATAATAATAATAATATTAAAATAAATATTTCAAATAATATTTATATTATTCAATTTTTTATTTTAGCTTTTTCTTAATTTTTTGTAAGAAGACAATTTTTTTTAATTAGCCAAAAACATTTATTTTTATAATTTTAATCAGTTATTTTTGCACAGAAAAAATACTTAATTTTTTAAGGATATTTTGGTCTCAATTTTAAATACAACAAACTATATATTTTATAAGTCTAACATTGAAATAATTTTATTGACGACATTAAAACACATTTATAATAAGACGCGCATTGAAATTTATTAGGTTGTTTTAATTATTTTGTGATTCTTTAATGAGCAGCAATTGAATCTACCCTTTAAAATGACACACACAACAAATAACAAGTGGTTATATAAGAAATAATTTACATAAATATGCGGCGCATGTGTTAAAATTTCCAAAAGGAATGCTACAAAAAAAATAATTTTAGTTTGGTACATTGTAATATAGCGCTTACTCGGTACAGTCAAATCCATCTTCTTCGTCTGTCGTATTATTTGTTTTGAATACTTTAAGTACCTACAGATATACAGCTTATCTTTCACAAGCAGCACTTTTACTTTTGCGATTATGCTTCAACCTGTGTCAAAAGAAATGTTTATAAACATTTTTTGTGACAGCCTTTTTCAAGATTTAAACCACTCTTTAAAGAAAAAAATGAATGACCAACAATCATATTTTATAAATGACTTTACAGAAATATTTTTGTTTTATAAAGTTTATATTGAACTGAAGATTTAAATTTAAATTAACTTAACTACTTGTAAAGTGATACTTTGTATCAGTTTTTTACTGAATAGCAATACTCATTTAGTCATATCTCTCATACTTTTATAGAGAGTATATATTTTATACTTATAAGTTTAATATATTTTAGAGTCTACAGAGTATAAATTTGTCAGCTTTCTTTGTAGTACAAACTGTAAAAAGACTTCAGAATAAAATTTAAATAATTTTATCTTACAGTTGTACATTTTTAGTTGAAAATTAGACGTTAAGTCAATATAAATCTTGAATTTTTTAATTTGACTCAAATTTGAACATAAATGATTTTCTGTGTATTTACAGTTTACGGACCAGACACTTGGATCGAATGGACCACGGATGGGCTAGGTCCGATCTGCATAAAGCTCTTCAAGTTTGGTCAAAACACTCAAAACTCACATTCCGGGAAGTCAATAGTGAATCCGCTGACATATTAGTGTTTTTCGAAAAGTAAGTTTTAATGATACACTAATTATAATAAGGAAATATCCATAGTCAAATAAAAATAAACATTCCTATGTAGAATTAAATGGAATTCCATACTTTGATGACTTAATGATTAAAATAATGTATGTTTCGATAACAAACAAATGTATACATCATGTTGAATTAAACGCGTAATTTGCTTCTTAAAAGAATTCCCTAAAAAATTGTATGTTTACTATACTCAAAACTAAATAGAAAGCTTCTCCTAACCATTATTCTTAATCAATTTCTTATAAATAATGTTCATATCACTAAATGTGTTAACTAGATCTCTGATTTAATCGATTTTGTTATGAAATAAATTTTAGAGGTTTTCACGGTGATGGATATCCTTTTGATGGACCTGGCCAAGTGTTGGCCCACGCTTTCTTTCCTGGAGCAGGACGTGGTGGAGATGCTCATTTTGATGTAGACGAAGAGTGGCTCTTAAATGGAAAAGAGTCCCCCGAAGGTGAGTAAAATATTTCTCATTCATTTTTCTCAAAATGGTTATTCTAATAAAATTTTTTCTTTGAAATCAGGCACCAGCCTATTTACGGTCGCAGCTCACGAATTTGGTCATTCATTGGGTCTATCACATTCGTCTGTTCAAGGTGCTTTGATGTTCCCCTGGTATCAAGGTTTAAAACCTGATTTCGATTTACCCGAAGATGATAAAATTGGTATACAGATTTTATATGGTAAGAATTTCTAAACATAGATATATAATATATATAATATATAATGTATATGTTAATGTCATGGTTTGCCCGAAAATTAGTGATAAAATTTATTTTACAGTTAACGGTATTCAAATAGTATCCAATCTTATGATTTACCATTTATTAGATATCTTTATAAACTAATTGGCTCAAATTAAATAGATAAAAACATTTTTTTATTTTAGGTACCAAAAACGATCGAATGTGGGGAAACATTCCAGCCTACAGGCCAATTTATTCTACTACTACGACTACTAAATCTTTATCCACTTCGACTAGAACTGCTATTACAAAACCGACCACAGTTGCTCCGACAACCACTCCAAAACGACCGGAAGTTAAAGTGATTCCTTCTCCTGTTGATGACAAACCACATTACTGCAATTCATCCTTCGATGCAGTATCCATCATTAGAAGAGATACGTTCTTCTTTAAGGGCAGGTATACCTGGCGATTGGGTCCAAAAGGTTTATACCCAGGCTATCCTGCGCTAACTAATCGCTTGTGGTACAATTTACCTAACGACTTGGAGCAAGTGGACGCTGTTTACGAAAGACAAGATGGCAAAATTGTGTTCTTTGTCGGTGAGTGAACGCTATGTTGTACATACATTTTAAATTAAAATTACATGTATTCAACATAAATATATTTTAACTGAATAAAAGTAATTAAACTTATTTTTGTCTGGTTTAAGGTCGTCAATATTACATTTACAACGGTAACATACCGGTGACTGGATATCCTAAGCCGTTAACAGATTTGGGTCTACCCGATCAATTGGATCACGTGGATGCAGTTACTGTATGGGGTCACAACAGTAAAACTTATATATTTAGCGGGACTATGTACTGGAGGTTTGATGACGAGGCTGGAAAAGTAGAATTAGATTATCCTTATGATATGTCAATATGGAGAGGTATAGGGTACAACATAGATGCAGCTTTCCAGTGGCATGATGGTAAGTGTTTCGTTAATAAAACAAAAATTTTAAATGCAATATGAGTTTAATCAAACCAATAATTACAATACAAGTTAAGGTTAATTTATGTACGAAACGAATAACACATTTTATCCGTTGCCAGGTGCCACGTATTTCTTCAAAAAACGTGAATATTGGAAGTTTAACGACTTACGGATGCGCGTCGAACAAGAAGAACCACTACCTATTGGTCCTTTTTGGTTCAATTGTTCAACTACTATTGAATATCAACCTAAGTACCCCAAAAAGAAAAATCGTGAGTATTTTGCGAATGGAAATCCAAAAACCAATGGAATTTGGCAGCAGACGAGTATTGTAAAAACAAATTCTGCAATTAAAGATTGTGGAGGAATAATATCTTTATTCTTTGCTTTTGCTATAATTGCATGGTCATCAAAATTTCAAAGTTATTTTTAACAAAACTTGTGCTCAAAATTTAGAGTATGAACTTTTTTCATGTCAATTACGATCAAAATATTTATATTACTAAAAATTAATTTAACATGAATATCACTTATATTTTTATTTAATTTAAACATTTTTGTGATATTTTTTTAGTAACTATAAGTATATTTTACTACTATTTTTTAACTGTATATATTTAAAATAATTAAAAAGTTAAACATTAAATTAAAAGTATTTATTTTGTTTTATAAATGTACAGTTGGAATATATTTTACTCTATAATACACTAGATAATATAATAACAAAACTAAGTTTCCTAAATTTCATATATGCAAAAAAAAAAAATGAATGTAAAAAACTGCCAATTGCCAACAACAATACTAATTTAATATTGTGTTTAGTTACTTAAGGTTAATTATATTTATTCTAAATGTAAATGCTTATGATGAAATATTTTGTTTTGAATTTTGTACATTTTTATAACTAAAATATAATAAATATTATTGTATTGATATTAATTAATTAAAAGTAATTTATTTATTAATTTTAATATTAATAAAATTATCAAATATTTTTAAACTCATAAAATACACTATCTCGATTATCAAAAAAATACTTTATAGTTAAATCAACAATTACAGTGATAATGGCAGCAGACTTTTTACTATAATTTTAATTATAAAAATATTTACATTTTTATGACATACTAGGCTTTGTCTAGTTGGGGTACTACCCCAAACCTGGTGTCCTGCAGGCCTCATAAGACTATGCCACGTTAAGCGGTTTGAACTGTCCTTGCAGATAGGTCACTGATTCTGATAGGAGTACACGGCTACGTAAAAAAATAGTATTACTCCAGAAATAGTTAACCAGAAAAACAGTTTAATTTATAAATTAATAAAATTATTATATGGCTACAAAATACTCAAGTGTATTCAAAATTATACTTCATAATAACCCACTAATTATTAAATACTATCTTTGAATGCTGTGTTTTAGTGAAAAGTACATAAAATTTAAACAAAATTGACATGCGCAAATTAAAATTATATTTTACTTAAAACTATATTTATGGACTTAAAAATAAAAGTAAAAATCTACAGATTTCAACCAAATTTTTAGGGTACCTTAAAAATGTTTCCGAGCAGTCTTGGTAAAAATGTCAGATTTTAATAAAAAAACGCTGGTAGCAATGAGCATTTTTTTATTAAATTTAAAACGTTCAGGTTGTGGTAAAAAAATTTTTCTCATCTCAGCAAATAATTTTCCCAGTATAACATCGTCGAGGTTTTTCATTAAAAAAAAAATGTGTGGGAGCTAAACTGTATTTATGACAAGAAGAAATGTCTTATGAACTATATTAAAATTTACCTTCAAACTTGAAGTGAAACTAATATAAATATTTTTATTTTTGGGTCAATAAAAAAATAGTTTTAATCATTCTGGTTAAAATTAATTGTATAAAATATACTAGCTAGGAGAAAAATAATAAAATGTGCTGGCTCGAAGTATAAAACGTAAATTGGCTTTAAGTAAATTAACAAAGTGTAGTAGCTGAAAATAAAATAATAACAATACTGTTTCTAAGCAACTAGAGAATTTCTGTCTACATATACGGTAAACATTGAAGACAATTTTACGGCGTCGCCCGATAACTCTCGTCTAGTGAGTTTCTAATTAACATTGATTGCGATTAAAAACTGTTCATTGTGAATACCATTTCATTCAACAAGCTCAACATGGACTCGCAAGATACGAAGCTTTCAGAATTAGTCGGACAGATCGAAGAAGGCCGGGACAAGTTGATTGGATATCTAATGGATACCGAAAAACTGTATCGACGTCTGATCCATTCAATTGGAGATGTGTTTGAATTGAGGGATCCAGAATCCGCTACGAGGAACACTCGTCCACTTAGTCCCGCCTTCGAAGTGTTACGAGATTGTTTAATGGGCCAGCGGTTGCAAATTCTAAACACCATAGACATTGATTCAGACGATTATGGCCTCGGGGAAATACGCAGTATGCGGCGCATAAAACCAACACGGGAATTTATGCTTCTCTTGAAACAGCTGTTCGATCCGCATAAAGCTACTTCCTTGACCGAACCAAACGTGTTCCAGATAACACCGCCCGATGCGTAAAACTCAGAGAGTTGGTCGCTTCATCATCATATGAGTCCCATCGACTCTTTTGGAATATGGACAGAGTGTGTTTGAAAGGCTCACAGATGGAGACATATGCAACTCGCAACAGGCGTCTGTTGAAGAAGTGTGACATGATACATGGTTATCATGGAAGGCTAAGCTGCCGCTAATCTTCTTCATCGTACCGCAATCGTTCCTTACGGAGTTTCACGTAAGTCGGAGTTTGATTATTTTTCAAATGTTTTACGACTGTTGTTTTCCACTCATTTGTGGATGTTTTTTGTTCGCATTTTCATTATCTTTGATGCTTTTTATTGTTGTTTCATATTTGTTTTGTTGCATTTATATAATTTCAATTTTCATGCTTAAATAGCATTTTTTATTGTTATATTTTGCAATCTTAATTATTCTTTTTTTTTACTCACACCGAGCTAAATTTCATTTAAATAAACACATGCTTATTGTTATTTAGACGAAATAAAGCTTAGTTAAATACCAAAAAAATTTGTTTTTTATTTTATTTCATATATGTTTCATTAACAATTTATATCAATAAAGTATTGAACGAATATTTAAAAATATTTATTTTCTAATGTTTAACATTCGTATTTCAGTCAATATAACGATAATTAATCGTTTAGATATACTTTTATTTGTATTTGATTTAATTTTCATTAAATGTACTCAAATTAATTGTTACTAAAATTTTATTTTTTATAATTAATTAATTTTAAACGTTTTTAAATTATTATTTGCTTCTCAATATCTTTATATTCTATGTAATATTATATTTATACAAAAAATAATATAAAAAACGGTAGCACACTGGGGTTGCGGAACAGTTTCGCAAGTACAGATTATATCTGACAGTGATTAAAATCAGTATCATAAAAAACACTTCGATGCAAATATGTAGATGTTTAATTTAAAAAAACTCCTAGTTTTTGTTCAATTTTGGCGGCCATTTGCACGTAGAAGACAAGTTGTCGGAACAAATTTTTATTTATCAACTTATAGGACGTATCATAAGCTTTAATTTAACATATATTTAAAGGACACAATATTTCCGAAACATTTTCAAAAGTTACTTTTCGTAAAAAGTTGCTATTTTATATTGCTCACAGGGGTGACACTGTGAGCAGGTTAAGTGTTAGATTTAAAAAAAAATGATATCAAATGAAAGGGAAATATCTAAGGTTTTGATATAAAATGTTGATTTGTTCATTTTTCAAAAAGTTATAGCAGTTTTAAGAAAATATTTCAAATTTTACAGATTTTAAAAATCATAATTTTTTGGGGAATTGCGCCATTTACAGAGAATGAGGAAAATTTTTACAATTTTTAAGGGCAATGTCTTCAACTATACGATTTGTAATTTTTTGATGTAACTTTGAAAGAAATAGGTCCAGTGAGAGCTGAGAAAAAGTGGCAACAAACACAAAAAAAAAAACACATCATAGTAAAATTAGTACCTTCTCAGATTCGCATCAAAGACAAAAAATAATTTGAAAATCGGATATCGTTTAGTAATTTTTTTAAGTATTAGCTAATTTTTCAATGTTTTATTATAAAAAAAAGATTATTAAAACAATATATAAACATTAAAAAATTTCAAATTTTCTTAAATATACTTTAGAATTGAAGAATAATTAGAAACACATTTTCAGGTAATACAATGCAATTTATTTTTACAAAATATTACAAAAAGTTGAGCTTTTGTCACTCATAGAAACAAAAAAAAATGTAAAATGTAAATGAAATTTCATTTGTTTTATTTATTTTAACAGTTCAGAAATAAATTGCAATCATTAATTTAAAAAAAGTATCAACGCCTATTTATACGTTTGTAATATTTGTCATTACTTATTTGAATCTGAAGAGGAGATGCTGAACGGGAATTGTTTCGATTAACATATTGTTTTCTGTATGGCCCTAACCTACTTTTTACATTCCTTTTTTCATATACCTCTTCTTCACTTGAGTAATCATCATCTTCATGAAGGTATTGACGACGAGGTATATCCCGTCGTGTTGCACGATTAAATGGTATATCACCATAATTAACATTCACATCCTCAACATCAACATCTAAAGATTCATCATCACTATATTGCTGAGCTTTTGCAGCTCGAATAGCCTTAGCTACTTTTGCTGAAACTAATCTTCCATTTAGACGCTCTCGTAAATCATTGGCAATATTTAAACTCTGATGTCTAATATTAATCAAAGGATTTTTAATAAATATTATTGAAAGATATTATTAAATAAAGTATAAAAAAACATTACCTAGAATTAGACAGTGAATTCACTCGTTTACGCATTGGATTTTGTGCTTCATCATCAGCATACATCCTCATTCTAGGAATTTTACTTTCTCTATATCTTGCCTCACTGAAGTCATCTTCATCTTCACTAGCAGCTCCTGAAGATGATGTTGGAGGCGGTGGTGATGGTGTTCTTACCTTAGGTTTATCTATAAAGAATTAATTATATATTATAAACTTTTAATAAAAAATTATTAAAATTCACATTTTGCATCCATTGCATTATCATATTGACTCCAAGTTTTAGCAACAGCTGTCCAAGTTGTAATTCCTGGTTCTTTAGCTAATTTCCATCGTACATCTCCTTTTAACATCTCATCACCAATATCAGGATGATTAATGACTGGTACAAATTTACGCTTACGACTGTCTTGAGTAAATAATTTATAGTCTAGAAAAAAAAAAAATTAGTATTTTAAATTTTCATTTAAACATATGTTTAATTATTTTGTTTATTATTTTATCATTAAAGTACTTAAGACAATAATGCTCTCAAAAAGTTTAATGTAAATAAAATATACAAACAATATATTATAGACAAATAGTTAACTAAATAATGTCTTCATACATAAATGTTTATAATAGTAACGTCTACAAAAACAATGTCTATTTTTTTTAAATATCTAATATTCTTTTTGTTTACTAATATAATAATACTAATAGGGTATTTCTTATTTTGGTAAATTTTAAAAACTTTGCTTTCAGGATTTTTTCTTGTTTTTTGGGTTAAAAAAAAATATTCCTAAGTTTTGGCCCTATTTTCAATTTTTATTGTACTGATAAGCGATTGAAGTTTTCTTATTTAAATAACAGGGGTTTTATTCTTTCAAAAATGATCTTGAAAGCTAAGAAAAATCACAAAAATATTAAATACAAATCAACTGATAGGAAATTTTAGAGTTTTTCAGATAAGAACTAAAAAATATACTCAAGCGACATATGCACATGCAAAAGATGTAAATGAAGTTCATATTTCTCTTAATCCGATTATGTTATAAAATAAACACATAGTTTTATATTAAAGGATCAATTTATTTATATTAATGCTATTGAACAGTTATTTAAAGTGTCAGAATGTTAATATTCCACTGAATTATCTTTAACAAACACTATATATGAAGTAGTCAACCATTAAAGATCTTACAAATAAAATTATAACTTTGAGCTGTGAATACATATCCAATTAACGGACCAACAGTTTTGCTTGAGATCAAATTTAGAAGATATCTATTGTGATACCAATGTGGTGATCACATTTTCAAACTTGAATTAAAGCGTGTTATTTGTACCAAATTTTCAAAAACCTCGGGTCCAAATGTGCCAATTTATGAAAGATTTCGTGCAGCATAGATTATTATTGATGTAAAAAACAATAAAACTGGTCACATAAAAGTAAAGAATGTAATTGAAAATATTTATTCTTTTGTAGATCAGAAATTACAAATCAAACAGCTATGAGGTAATTTACAAAAAGCTTTTTTAATAGCTTTAATAAAATTTTTTATTATATTTTCTACTTTTGAGTCACCAGTTTTTCATATTAATTTTCGACCAAAATTTCTTGACAATTTGAGACAAAAAACACTTTGTATTTAATGGAAAAATTTCAATTGAAAGTCAATTTGGGTAGGATACCAAAATTTTGAGAATAATTTTTTTTAACCCAAAGAAAAAAAAATTCTGATAGCAAAGTTCTTTGAAAATGATGAAAATAAATGACACCCTAATATAGTATACTTTTATTCTCAGTCTATATATTTATTTTTAACTATTGACTACTTAATTTTAGACTTATAATTTGTTAGTTACCATGTTTAAAAAAAACTATTTCTTTATCATAAGTAGTATGACTAGCTATTTAACTATCATTTAGTTTTTATATGTTAAGGTTTTATTTTATTATTAAAAAAGTGAGTCCAAAAAGACCCTACAAATATTATTTATGAAGAAACTGTGAATACTGGAAATTAAGAAGTACAATTTTTTACGTTATTACAAAACTTGTACAGACAGTATATAGATGTCAAAATATTTGTAGATCTCCAATACTACGAAATTTAAATAATTGTGTTATAGTTATTCCAATAACTTCTAGCAAATGAACAATTTTTACAATATGACTCTGAAGATACTGATAGAATATTAATTTTGTAACAGACAAAGCATTGGATAAACTTATGCAAAGTAACATTTTATAAGGAGATGGTATTTTTTATTATTTTATCAATTGTACACTACTCATGGCTTTATTATGAACTTAATGTACCCATTGGTATATTATTTCACAATCTGAAAAACAAATGAAACATATAGAAGTATATAGAAGTATATTTAACCAGATACCAGAACTTTAGAAATAATGTGAAAATACTGATAACTTTATTATTTGTTTTGCTTACATATGTAATAAAAATGCTCGATATTTTAATAGATAACAAATCATGATAAATAAAAAATATATTTCTAAACAATTAAACTTATGAAAAAATAACCAATTAGATGTTTATTAAGAAGTATTAGTATTAAGTTAAACTACATTCAGAGGTTAATGAACGATTCAATATTTTCATTAATTATTATTATAGTTTATGATTGTTAATTTACCATTTAATTTTTAATTTATCTATATTTTCAAATAAATAAATATACGTTAAATTGTTAAACTATTTTAAATTAAACTTAAAAATAATAGGATAAAAATAAAATAGACATACTTTTAGTGAGATATTTTATAATTTAATTTAACAACTAGTAGGTGTATTTTTGAAAATAGACATATTTGACTGACACTACTATTCTTGAAACCATATCATAGAAGAAACATACTGAAAGATATTGTATGAAAATTATATGATCCAAATAATAATTCATTTATTGGAAAATAACCGAAACTTAAAGAGCTTTTTTTAAGAAATGTATAAGATTTTAATATCTTTAATCATTTTTTAATTCTAATAAACTCATTTAAATAGTAGAGTATAAATAAATAATTTTAATGTTATTTAGGTAGTAAAAAAATAATAATAATAGAAATTACCTCCGTCATCAACTGTAATATTTTTGTTCTTAGCATCTTGTTTATCATACTTTGTACTAAACCGCATTAATATACATTTAGTTTTAGGATGTGATTTAATTGCTTTGCGCCATATTCCTGGCGGTAAAGTGATACCAACGCAGCTTACATAATCTTCTGACATTAGTACCTTTTATTTTAAAGATATATATTTAAGACTGATTTTTAAATTAAGTTTATTATTATGATTTTTTATAATACATCATCTTGTTCCATATTATCATCAATTGTATTTATTATTCCTTCTTGATTTACTTCAATGTCATCAATTGCTGTAGATAAATGTTTTAATTCTCGAATAGGACGAGTCAATTCTAGTAATACCTTTGTAGGCATACGATCATCTAACCAAACTACATTACCTAAAATATTGAATAAATTTTAATATTTTTAAGATTAACGATCAATAGAAGGTACAAACATTCAGTATTGGATATCCATTCCAAAAATTTAGCGTCATATTCACCAAAATAATCTATTACATCTTTTGTAGTCATTCCCATGACTCCATGTAAATACAGTGCATTCAATTGAATATCCTTATTATTTTTATTCATGCCTAAGCTACATATTAAAAACAACATAATATACTTACATTTTAATTTAAAAACTTAATGAGAGAATTCATCTATTTTACTATACCTATTTAAAACATATTGAATTTGTTTATCTGTGATAGACAATGAATCTGTCTTATTTGTCAAATGAATAGGTTGGAATGTATTCCTGTTCAACTATACGTTATTAAAAAAGAAACTAATTAATATTAGTACTTATTTTATACAACAAAAATAAAAATTAATGTTTTATAATTTTGATAATAAGAAAAAATGCAAGACTACTTAATACTCATAACAGTGTTGAACCTGAATTTTATACAGAAGAAAAAATTACCTTGGGTCTATTTTGTGACAAAGAATGACTGGTCCTGGCAGCTGAACTATTATCATCTAAAACTTCATCCTCGCTGTCTAATAATTCACCAGGTTCTAGAAAGTTAACCGATAGTAAATTGTCATCACTGTCACTATCCGCCATCGTTAATTACTTGTGAACGTTTTTAAAAACACGCGTCAATAATACATTTTTACTTTCACTTGGATAAATTATTATAATTAAAAATATTTCATAAGTAAACAATAATATAATGTTATTACAATTGAATCTCACACGCGTTTAACGAACCGAATTCATTTAATGTTATTGTAAGAAATAAGCAAACAAAATATTTTGTTTTTTAAAAAATAGCAATGATTATTTTTTTAAAATATGATAAAATTTTATAGTCATAGATAATTATCTGTATATAAAGTGTATATCATGTAATATAGATAATGGAAATCAAACTCGCATTCAAAAACCGTTCTGTAATATATCGCTTTCTAATTCACCACCAGTCTGCGCGTCGGAACATGTGAGGCTACTTTTTAATTATTTTAAACGCTTACAATTGGGATGTTATTTGTTTTTAAATTTTAAAAAACTAATCTATAGAAATTCTGTTAACATCAGTTTATTCAGCATAATTTAAACATTATACAACTTTAAGACTTATATAATTTTGATCAATAAACCAACTTTTGTAAATACAAATGTATCAAACTAAAATATTTGTTTATTATTGAAATCTATAAATTAGGAACGACCGGAAGCAGTTGATACTTGGAACAACATGACCAACATGATTTTAATATTATAATAATTAAAATATTTTAATAGTAATGGGCGTAGCTTGAAAAAATTAACTGTGAGAAGGCTATTGTTCCATATTCTATTTCACGAGTTTAAATAATAAACCTAACAGGATAATATGTCTCTATGTCAAATATGTCATATGACAAATTGCTAAGAGTTTAAATAATCAAAAGTAGATTAACATGCGCGCCGACATGCAGACTGATGATGAATTTAGTGTGCGATGTTCAAAGGATAGTATAACAGGTGTACGACTTTGTCCATAGAATTAGAGCGTGTTAAGCCTCCCAACATTTTTGAAGTCAAATTTACTATTTTATAATTTTTTTAGTATATACATTTAATATTTATTTTGATCATTTTTTGTTTATAGTTGCTGAGAACACCGTGTATACTTAGAATATTTTAAGTTTAACTGAAGTATAAGTGTTGGTATAAATTTCGTGTATTTTTGAGATAATTATTTTAACAATTACTATTTATATTCAAATTAAAAACTGCCTCCTCTCGTGACGGCCCTGTAATTTATGCAGTGCTTAAATAAAAAATCCAAGGTGTACAAAACTCGAAGATTGGGGAAAATGTAAAACTGGGCTCTATGTAAAATTCTACATGAAAAAATCCAAAGTATAATGTTGACTAATAACAATTTCAATAGAATAGTTCTGGCGAATTCATTACAAAACCGTCTATAAAAATTCATTCGTCATTATTATTACTTATACAGAGCGTTTCATTTATCTTAAACTACTTAATTAATCAAAAATAAGATTAAGAATTTTTTTAAGTTTCTTTTAGGTACATATTATTTTTAATTTATCAAACATGAAGTTTTTATTTTATGTTCATCCATTATGTCTTCTAAGGGTTTCAACTTTACTTTTTCAAATAACAACATATATAACCAACTAGTTTCTTTAATACATAATGATTTAATCAAGCGTCTGTTTTATGACAAATTTTGGACCGGTAGGAGGAAGAGATGTTTGATTACATCGATATTTTCAGTTTGATATCATCGACATTAATATTACACATTTTGTGATATTAATATTTTTTTGATAGAATCAATATATATATAACTAAAAATTCTAAATATCTACTCTATTACTTTATTTATTTACTTTATTATTACTTTTTACCGAGTAAAAAATTACCGAAATCCTTTACCAAGATTGTACTATTTGATAGTACAGAATTTACTAATGAAAAATAATAACATTTATTATCATTAATAGTCTATGACAACAAATGATAACTCCTTTACATTACATTTAATTTGTAAAAATAGGATTACGTGTTGATTTTGAAAAAATATTGTTTAGATTAAAAAATATTCCATAATTATAGTTGGTTAAGAGATAAAATTTTATGCTTAATAGCATATTTTTTTACTATAGTTTTTAACTTGTAAACATACTTATTAGATACATTTCTTCATTTATAACATCATTAATAAAAATAATATCAATTCATTTTCAGGTATGATTTTTGTTCGACACATCAAAATACTAAAATCTTAATTTACTTAGGATAAGATTTTTTTGTTTTTTGTTTAATAGATATGTTAGTTTTATCATCAATAAATTGTATGTTTGTATCAAAAAATTGTATGCTTACAACTTTTTCTATTGAATTAAAAACCAATCTTAATAGTTAATGAATAGTTAGTTCACATTTACAGGAATTATTATTATACTTTTAAATTGTAGTTTAAAAAAAAAATTTTCTTCTAATAAATTTAAATTTTTAATGTGCTTATCAAATAAAAGATTTTTACTATAAAAATTTTTACTATTTACTAATAAATTTTTAATTTTTAGAATGAAACGAAATAAGAAAAAAATATTGAAAAAAAAATTACGATTAGAACCGTATGTATTATTAGAAAGAATTGACACATCAAATATAAAGTAAGTTATCACTAAAGAGTTTCTTAATATTTTCAACTTATATTAATGCTTCCAAAGAAAAAATATATAAAACAGAATTTTCCTCGGAGGCAAAATGATGTGTTGAAATCTTCTATTTCAGTAATATTGTATTTTAATAACAATGGTTAAACCAATTATCATATCAAATACATTTATTTGATAGATTCATTAATAAGATACACAATATGTTTTGAAAAAAAATTATTCATTTCAATAAAATATTGTATTTATAATTTTACCTTGACTGTATCAATATTTTATATTATTATTATTTAAAATTTTAAGTTCAATTTATTACTAATATTCACCTAAAAAAGTTATATAATTTCTGAAGAGTTTAAAAATAGATGATGATGCCAATATTCATTATAGCTTTGTTTTTAAGGCCTTATAGATATAACTATCTTTAAATACATTATTTTTAGAATAAATGTTACTGCATTATAGCAATATTTATTATATTCATTGATATATTTAATAATTCCTATTTTTTATCTTCATTACTACAAAAAAAAAAAATTCATTTGCTTAAAAAAGTAATGAAAACACAGTATAATTCAATTGTTTTTTTAGTCTAATTATTTGAATTATGTTTTGATTTTATACTAATCAGTAATATTCATTTTACATTTTTAGAATAGGTCAAATTTGGAATAATCAAAAAAAGCCAAAACTTTTTCATGAGCCAGTAGTGTTATTAGATCACATCGATTTGGACAATTTAAAGTAATTTGTCAATAAAGTTTATGTTATTAGATACTATAAAATAACTTCTTACTCCTATTAAATACAAATGCAATTTTTCATGAAAATCATAAAAATAATATTATCAACTAATTAAAAATTTAATAATAGAAATTAAAATATTATAAATAACAATTATAATTTAGGTTATTAATACAAAAAAAAAAAAATAACAAATGTAAAAACTATTAAATAAGTAAAATATGATATCAACTAGGTTAAGCACGTGTCCATTTTTAAGTTATTTTAAGTCACTGTAGAAATAAAAAATTAAATAGATAAAAAATATTAAAAAAATGTATTTATTAATTTTTTATTAGAGACAATGAAAAAAAAATACTTTTAACATATTACAATACTGTAAAAATAAATGTAACACAAAATAATTGTGGAATCATATATATTAAAAATGTCTTATGACATCTTAAGATGATTTATTCAAAATGTTGAACATTTTTATAATTTTCAATATTATGTAGTTAAATAATTATCAAAAGTGTCCACAAATCTTATACTTAACTCTTTATTGCAAAAAGTATCCAAATAGACTAAATATTTAATAACAAATAGTACTAATTTTTACTTACTATTTTTTTTGAATTTTTTCAGAATAAAAAAAAATTTTGGGAACTCTAATGAACTACTACTAGATAATCGACTGAATTTATATTTATCAAAAAAAAACATCAATTGTTTCAGACCTTTTGTCCTACTTGAACGATTATCGCCAAAAGTCTTAAACAAATATTTGTAAGAATTTATCATTTCCTTAACCTTTATTCCGACTATTTTTAGTATGCTTTTCCATAGTATTTGATAGGACTTTTAAACTGGCTATTGACCTATCTTCAATACAACCTAATTATGGCTGATGGAGTTGTAAGGGGACAAGGTCTATGCCACTGTTAAAGTTCCTGTATGGTAACCTCATTTGGTAGCCACAGCAAACAGCGCAACTAAACGTTATTGCTATGACAATGAATGATACAGTGTGCCATACTATGCCCTAATCTATTAAAGGCTTTAATTCACATTAATACATACTGTATTAAATAATACAGTATGTATTAAAGAACAAATTTCATTAATATACAAAGTGAAATCATTCATAAAAAATGTTAAAATTTTTGCATTTATTTAGAGTTATTAAAATTTATTGAACCAGCAGATTTTTCGAAAAATAAAAAACTAATATTAATAATTTTTTGTTGGTTTCTTTTGTATACATTTTTTTTTTAATTTATCAACTTTGTTAATTTAACAACTTTTGGACCCGTATATCAAAAGTTAACATATTTATACCTAGGTGGAAAAACGAATGAGGCTGAGAAATGCCTGGTGATAAAAATAGTAACAATGTCATCACCTCATCTATTTACTTCAAATTGTTAATTACTTTTGAAATACTATACTAAAAGTTGTTTAAAATTACCAGTAATTTTCTTAATTAGATAATAATTTATAAATAAGCTAGTTAATTATGTATTTTATCATTTGAAAAATTAAAGTTTACATAAGGAATGAGTATAAAAAATATTTCATGATTGATAAGTTGAAAAAAACATTACCTAAAAGAACATTCCAAAAATATATCAATATTATTTTTTAATCTTTGAAAAACCTGCTGGTTCATCAAATTCTGAATACTCAGTATTGTATTATAGGTTCTTAAAAACAACTTGTGCAGATCAAATTTTTATTTTGTTACACATAGATTAAATTGTTTAATTATAAACTAAATAATTTTTAAACATTTTTTACTAGATTCTATTTTTTAGAAAAGTAAAAGTTCAATGCACTTCAATTTTATTGAAAAAATTTAATTTTTACTTACTTAAAGTTATGGAATTTAGTCTTGGCTAGTTTATTAAGAACCATTGATTTATTTAATCGGTTGTTGACTGCTTAAGAGGCTTAAGTTGGGGACTATCTATGGCTGCTAAGTAATTTAGAGAGAAATGCTTGATCTAATAGTGAAAGCTTAGATTAAATTCCAGAGCCCTATCTTTTTTTCCCTCAATCTTAGGTTTTAAAAATAATTTAATACTTTCCGTAAAACATTTTTGTGGCTATTTTCCAATTGTGTCTTATATGCAAAAACAAATCTTCTACTATTAGTGTACTTATCATAATTTACACTAAAGTAATATTCAAAAATAGATTTCCTAGTATAATCCTGGGCAAAGTCAACCACTATCAAGAACTTCAATGTTATTTATAAAATAACTATATGTACTCGGACTATATCCTTTATATTTTTCTCTTACTAGCTTATTTTGGGTTTACCTGTGACACGGTACCGTGTTTCCCTCAGACGCACATCACGTTATCAACCTAAATGAAAGTGTATCGGGATCTGAATCATAAGTGCACGGTGGCCTAGTGGTAAGGTTTGTCTATAAGACGCCTTAGGTCGCGGGTTCTAATCCCGTACCATGCCTCTTTTTTCACATGATTTCCGGTACACTTTCTATAACCGGCCGTCAATCCCCGGCGGCCGTGTTACCTGGAACTATCCTAAATTATTACTCAAAGAGGGCCCATGATACACTTTCCTAACTAAAGGAGGTTAAGGTATATACTTTCCTCGAAATGGTTTACTATTTTTTAAATTCTTACTCAGTTAATGAATTGACCTTTTCTACTTATTTGAAGCAATTTTATTATAAATAATCCTGTTTGTATAGTTGGAGGCATAAATTGTACTCAGGATAGAAAATGTTTTTTATTTTTTGTAGTTACCTTTAAATATATATTTATTGTGTTGAATAAATGAATCTAAAATAAATTTCAGGAACCCATCTCTAGGTTTAAATAAGGAGAAAATTTATGTCAATAATGTTGAATTTGTAACTAATATAAAATCAGAAGATAAAGTTATTAATATATTGAAAAGTAATAATGATAAGATAAAATCAAATAAGCTTAATAAAATAAGTATAAAATTAAAATGTAATGAATGTTACACTGTAAGTAAAAACAATGAAGAAACCAATCAGTTAAAAATATCAGACTATGAATATGAAGGAGTTTTAGATTCATCAAACCAACATTTTATATCAAAATATGTTAAAAACAATTATAATTTAATTAAAAATACAGCGTTGAACCAAAACACATTAACTGAATTTCAAGAAAATGAATATTTGTCTAATATGAAAGAATATTCAGTTCAAAATAAGAATAGTGAAGAATTAAGTTTTGTATCAAATATATTTTATAAGACAAACTTTGCTGTAGAAACTCAACTAAGAGAAGATTACTTAAATTCTAATAATAAAATAACTCTTGATTTGTATATTGATCAAGGAACTAATGTTAATAAACAAAAGATCTTTGATAGTAAAAATGGTTTTATAAACAAAGCTAAATATAATAAAGGAAAAGGAGTTAAACTTAATTTACCAACTATTAAGTCTCATAGAATTTTTAATATTAATTCTCTATTATTAAATAATAATTTTCAAATAGAAAATGGTAAAAATATTAGAATTTTTAGCATGTATTTAAAATCTCCGTTATGTAAAAAAAATGTTGTAAAATATTATAAAAAATTAGCTCATGCTAGTAAAAACAGCAATAAAATTGTATCATGGTATAAAGTATGCAAAACCCTTTTAAAGAATAATAAAGATTCAGAATCTAAAATCATTAATAAAACCATATCATTACATTTAATGGACATCAATATGTTGGAAAACTTATTGAATTTTACATTATTTAAACCACAAAATTACAATAAAAATTGGACTCAAATTTTATCTTTCTTAAGAATTAGTAGATCAATTTTATATGATTTGTTAATTCATAGTGATAAATTATCAAAAATATATATTTCATCATTATTGTTAAAAAAAAAATTCATAAATGAAAACCAAATTTCAAAAGTTAAATTCAATTTTGAACTGAATAAATATCATGAGTATAATGATAATTTAACATATTTATACAGAGAAGAATTCATTACTGACAACATAAAATATTGTTTATGCAATAAACTATTTATTAATAAAGAATATTTAAGCATCACAAATGAAAGAAAACTAAGTGAATCAATACAGATTTTTTATAGTTACTGTTCAAAGATTATACAAATCAAAAATACCCTTAAAAAAAAATTGAATATACATACTTTAACACAAAAAATTATTTATGAAAGATGCATTAAAAACTCATTAAATAAAAAGTTTTTATACTTACAAAAATCATTAAGTCAGATGTCAATATGTTTAAAGTTTGAAAATAATTCAAAATATTATTTTATAAAAAATAATTGTCTGAAAACTGATTTTAATTTTCAAAATGTAAAGTTCTCTACCTCGTTTAAAGTTCAAACTCCAAAGTTGTTAAGTTTGCAAAAATTAAATGGTGTTATAAATCTAGAGTACATTTTTTTATATATCAAAAGAAAAAAAAATTTGAATATAATTATAAGTTCTTCATATAAAGACAAAGAACATAATGTCTATAATTTTAAATGTCATTACTGCAATAAAAATTTTAGAAAAAGAACTTACATTATAAATCATTTACAAGTATGCCACTATTTTGAATGTAATGGCTGTCGAAGGGTATTTCAAAATAAATCTTATCTAGTAAAACATATTAAGTGCTGTATCAAAAGGTTGATGCATAGATCAAATAGTTATAGTAGTTATGTGAATAATCAATTAGAAAAGGTCGAACCTAATCATTTTAAAACATTTGATTTATGTCGACAAAATTCAAAAAGTAAAAAATCTTTGATCAAGCCTGTTAAAATATCTCATGATCAAAAATATAGATACATCTGTTATATTTGTAATGAAAAATTTAGCCAAAAATCATTATTAAAAAAGCATATGAAATTACACTTTAAAAGTAAAATAAAGTCAAGTAATGATAATGATATGGATAGTTTAGACTTAAGATTTGTTAATAATAAAATAAATGTTACTCATACTAGTCAATGTGATTTCCTTACCCTAAATCATAAAAATATTAATTTTAATTGTGATTTATGTTTCAAAATGTACCCAAATAAAGGTAGTCTTCAAAAATATATTACAAATGCAGATAATTTCAATTTTTTTAAGTGTAATTATTTCCAAAATAATATCAAATTGAAAAGTAATTTAAAAAGACACATTGAAGGTCATTTTAAAAACACATTTGTAGATTCAGATGTATCATCAAGAATACTAAATGTATCATTTAACACACTCTGTTACCTTTGTGGTGAATTGTTTCCATCACATTCTCTCAAAAGTATTCATATTACTAATATACAGTATAAAAGTTATGAAGAAGTACAAAATTCGATGTTAAATGGAAAAAATTACTACAACCTAGAATCTCATCAATGTAATTTTAATAATTCAAAAGAAAATGAAAAATATACTGATATTTCAAATAAAAATGTTAATTTCAATGCTGATTTTTTAGATTTTATCCATGTAATATCTCAAAATAATAATAATGAAATTGTTAAAAAAAAAAATGTGCATGCTATTGATATAACTACGGATCTCAAAAAAAGTGTAAACGAACAAATTATTGATAATGAAATAATTAAAAAAAATATATTAGCTATTACTTCAATTTCTAATTGTAATAGTAGTTTTTATGAAGGAATTGACAAATCTAACATTCTGAATTGTTATAAATGTGAAAAATCATCATTCCAAAACAACAAAGTTTATGTAAACCATTTATCTAATACTCATATCAATATAGGAAAGCTTTTAAATTGTAGTATATGTAAAAAAAATGTTAAAGCAAAATCGAAATATAAGAATAATGTTGATTATAATTGTGATATTTGTGGATTAAAATTAACTCAAAAAAGATTATTAAAACTTCATAAAATGAATCATAAAAATGAAAATAATTTAGTTGAGTGCAAATATTGTTTTAAAAAAATGCCTGCTTTCAAAATAAATAAACATGAAATTGTACATAAAAATTCTACCAAAAAACTATGTACCATATGTGGAAAATTTTATTCGAGAATTTACTTCAAAAAGCATTTATTGACTCATGATGATTCTTATCGATTAATTTGTCCTCATTGTGGTAAGAAATTTGTGTACCATAAATCTTTACAAAGGCACTTATTATTATTTACTTTAAATAAAAAATGTAACTTAAAAATTGCTAAATTAAATAATAAATCATACCCAAAAAAAGTTAAGAATAATTTAAATTGTCAAGAAAAGAAATATCAGTGTAAACTTTGTAATACAATATTTTGTGAAAAAAAAAAATTTCAAGAACATAAACTCTTACATCCTAATCATAAAATGTTTGATTGCAATGTCTGTAGTAAAACATTTAGCAAAATATTTGAATTAAAAATGCATAAATTAGAACATGATGGGGAACATTTGTATAATTGTGTTGAATGTAACAAATCATTTTCAAGATCATCTAAATTTAAGATTCATATGAAAATTGAACATGGTGGACGTATATGTGAAATTTGTAATATTGAATTTAATTACATGGCAGATTTTATGATGCATCAACGTGTCCATAAACTAGGAAACAAGTTTGTCTGTGAATTATGTGATTCTGGAACATTTAATTTTAAAATGGAGTTAAAGTATCATATTAAAATTTGTCATGGTGAAAGTTTAAATTGGTTTGATGTGTAACTATACTTGTTTTTATTTTCATTGTATGAAATAATTTCTTATCTGTGAATTGAGTATTAACATTTTTCATTTGTTTAATTTTTATACAGTTCTGTAAATATTTGTGTTCTATACATACTCATATTTTGAAAATATTTAATTTATTTTTTATAATTTTTTCTTGATATTGTTCCAGTTTATATTTAATAATTATTGTTGTGTTTCGTTGTTAATCTAAGCATTGTTACAACAACTATAGGTGCAGCTTGTGTAATGTGTCTGCTGAATTGCCTCTTCAAATTATTTAAAATAAATAAAATATGAATTGTTAAAATAATTGTACGATGGTATTTTTGTTGATAGTATTTAAGAATTCCATATTATAAGATAATAATACAAGGTATTAAGTAATTATTATGTATGAATTTAATAATATTTTATTATTTAAAATGTATAGAAATTGTAGTTATGTACTCAATTTTGTTAGTGTAATATATTTTTTTATTTAAAAAGTAAATTATAAAACGTTAGACAACTATTATGGGATAAAAAGGGACATCATTATTCTCGAGAGTAAATAAAATGTTTATAATGCTTCTAGAACTTGTATTTTTTTTTTCAAAATTCGAGTTGCGGTAGTGAAGAGTAATTTTTTTCTGCTTTTTATACTAACATATATAAGCAAGATCAAAATTTAAAACTAGAAAAGTTTTACAAATTTGGTTATAATATTCCCTACAAGAGCATTATAGATTGTTGATTACTTTTTGTCTATTTATATTAGCAAATTAATTTTCTTTCTTCACACAAATATAATTTCGATTTTTAATTTGTATGGCTGTTACTTCCAACAGATGATGTATTAAATTTAGGACTCAGTGTGCAATACTAAATCAAATATGTGTAGTGTTAACTAAAAATATGTTGACTAGTTGGTTTCTGTCATTCTTGGGTAAAATACCTCTAGGAATATTTTTTGGATCATTACATCAAATCAAAATTGTTTTATGTTTTATTTATTAAATAAAATATATTACTTAGACCAAGAAAATCAAAATTGATGACCAAAAATCTGTGATGGTGTCACGTTATCATTTTTGTAAAAAAATATTATAAAATAAAACAGACCGCGCATCTGTTGCTGATAAATTGACAATAAAAAATAATTATTTCAAAATCAACAATCATCCTAAATATTATTTAAACCCAATGGACCTGGACATCGTGGTCAATCGACTCAAGTACGTAGCCTTATGCTTAGTGTCATTCATCAGTCTTTAGTACTGGGTTGTCGCTGTTCGGCTTACGGTATAAAGTCAAGTCTTTGTTCTTCTCTTTTCATTTATCTACTTCCATCCTCTACATTTCAGAGTAATTGTGTCTTTCACTTCGTTTGTACCTCATACTCTTTGTTCTTTATCCTTTTTTATACCCAATGTTTTTGTTTCCTGCATCTCTTACCTAGGGTTACCCTTTTTCCTTTCCTATAACAGCAGCTTTTCGACACACACAGCTAATTCGGAGTATTAGCCGAGATCGGTAATTGTTGTACAACCATACGTATGTGTAAGTTACGCGGAATCATCATCATATTCGTACAACTCGTTCTCACTTCTCTCTAACGTTTGTATTGTAATACGATAAATCTTAAATACTCATATTTTATAAGATTCTTTTATTTTTTTGTAAAGTATATTTTCTATTTATCTCAAAAACTATGCAAATATCAACAAATCTAAAAGGACTATATATTTATCTTATTATTTCCCATAAAAGTTATTCTTATAAAAAATATCAAATATCTAATATCAAACTATAAAAATAAAATATAACACACATTTTTAAGTTTGCCAACAAAATCGAAATATTTTATTAATTTTTATGTTTTAAATATATTATTTAAGTTATATGATAATGTTTCTTTATCCTTGTAAACTTTTTAGTTGATAGAGTAATTAGAAACTTGTAGCTAAAAACCTTTTTGTATGTACAAATATTAAAAAAAATAATATGAAAAAGTATATAATTATAATTTTTACATTTTACTTATTAAATTTTAAGGATCTCCCTATTTGTAAGGTTAATTCTATCAAACATGGACACGTATTTTGCAATTTGGCCCAGTTTGTGATGCGGAAGATACCTGCGATTCCATTTTTCAACATTGTAGCTTCGTTTTAGATCGTCTAAATTTGACTTGCAAAACTTCCTAGGGTTTGGTGGAGTAAGTGTAACCATTTTATAACGTTTAGAAAACATAAAAAAAAAATTAAAAAGTAATTATCGCTAAGAGCAAACAAAGATATCGTGATATTTTCTTACTAGTTATTTTACTTTTCCAGTCATAATTATTCACATAAATAAAGCTGTATTTTAGCCTAAACAGACAAAGCAGTTGCTTTGGGTACACAATTTTAGGGGATCATCTAGATATAATAGGTTATTTAACCTATTTAACAGAAATAAGTATTTCTCAATAGATACAAGGCATTTTTTTTATTTAATAAATATTAAAGAATCACAGTGGCGTGTTCAAAAGAAAGTCAAAAGGATCTCTTCCTCTATTGACACAAAATTATAGTAGTTAGAGAAAGTAGATGGGCGAATCTCTCATATAACTTTTGGAAATTTACGTTCTAAAAGTTATACGGACTTTTCTTACAATAAATTTCTAAATATTCTACTGAAAATGGGTATTAATTTGGTAACTGTGTAAGGACCCAGAGGCTCTGACCATTGACAATAATATTGACAGTGTATGGATCATATTGATGACGTGTCAATATATTAAAATAATAAAAAATTGTTTAATATGTATGGGTAGATTTTCAATATTATTATGCTGTTTGTGACACTTCGCTAGATATTTTGACCGAAACTGAACAATATATCGATGAATATTATTGATCATGTGGGTGTAAAAAATTGTAATATTTATTAATGTAAATATTGATTAATAGAATTGATTGTGTACTGATAAACTACATAATTATGTCTGAGTTAACGTATGTAAAATTTGGGATGTGTCATTTTTATCGGAGTTTTGAATTTTTTTATTTGATATATAAGCATGTATAGAATTGAATATTTTTAATAAAATGAAGAAGAAGAACGGTAAAAATATTTCCAAATAAAAAGGTTTTTATTTAGATACTTTTTTACTTCGCTTTAACAGTAGTTAAAATAGGTTACCTGTTAGGAAGATAAAGTATTTGGGTAAATAACTCAGGGGTTCGCAATTAGTTCTTAAATGTGTCCAATAATTTGAAAAAATATTCAAGATGCATTTTAAAAACTAAATACGAGTTCATAAATTTAATATGACATAACCCCTATGAAATGTAAAAGTAAAAATTGTTTTTTGATTCATTTACATTCCTTTTACAAGTCAAATTTGGACCTCAAATCACCTTTTACCGATCCCTGCGTCTGTAAATTCAAAAAAAAAAAAATAAAAGTAGGGTTTATTATCTTGATTTTAGGTACAAGCGATATTTTACTACAAGCGTTTGTGTTTGTAGTAAGAAGTCTGGTTGACAGTCGATTTTTACTTCGTTCCTAAAAAATAAAAAGCGATATTATAACTTACACATATAAAAAGTACATAAAAAATTAATTTTTCGATGAACAAATCAGAAAATCAATTTTTTTTTTAATATGAAATATTGTCTTTTTTCAACGATTTATAAGTGTACAATATTATTAAACAAATAACCAATAAATTTAAAACATGTTCGTTTTGTTACGGGATCACTCAATTTATTTATTGTAAAGGTAATTCAAATGTGTTATAACTATTAATTAAAATATAATTAAATTCACTTTGTAAGTAATATTACTTAGCATCTTTGATCTAAAATTTTCAAAGGAAATTACAATTTATTACGTTTTGTAATTTAAAAAAATTTTTGAACTTTGAATATATTCTCACATTAAACTATGATTATGACAAAAGTAATGTAGCGTTTTATTATAACTTTTCTTTTGGTTCAAACAGTTATTTTCATATCAAATATTTTAATAAACATCTAGGATTAACCAAGTATCAGGCACACATTTAAATATTTTTATTATTATCTCTTAATAAATATTATTTTTATGACCTCTTTTCAGTAAAAACAATCATTCAGTCATTTGTCCTATATTGCATACAATCAAATACTGAGTGTACAAAAGGACACAGAAATGGTTAACCCAACAATTGTCGGGTTGAGTTGTAAAATTATGGGAGTACCTAAAACACGGTCTGACTACAGACAAGTGAATTAAGTAATTTTCATATAGTCCAACCAACTGGTTACAACATTAGAAGAAACTGGGGAATATTAACTACTAAACTTGATTTAATATAATTAAAATGTTTTTCTTATTGATATAACTAGATAATGATTCATTAAAATATGGGCTACATTGTGAAATTTTCAAGTTATTTAAATCAATATTTATTTAATATAAAAAAAAATGTATATGACTAGAATTACCCTCCTTCAAATAAATATTAAAATATTACTTTAAGTAATAATATTAATGATTATTTAGCTATGCAATCAGTACTTAGTTAAGAAGAAATTCGGATTATCATAGATTAAATACACAGAATATCTATCAACTTAATCGCAAGCGTATCGTTTCGCTACGTCCATTTATGATAAAAAATGAACTGTCACAATTGGGTACGCCATGGCCTAATCTTCATGTATTAATTTGTGGTATAATTCTGTGACCAGCATTCCTTTACTCAATCCTATCATCGTCCATTAATATCGGCGGTCTTTTCTTCCACGTAGCGATGGCAACTTGTTATCAATGTTGATAACAATGTTACTTTCAAAATAACAGTTACTGTTATTTTCTCAAAAAAATATTATCTTTATATTAAATTCTTAATTACAGTTTTATATGTTAAAAGACTGTTAATAAATATTTAGTCTATAAATAACTAACAAATTTAAATATAAACGTAAAATTACTCGTAATAAATTAAATAAAGGTTTGTCATAAATAATGATTCTTTGGAAATTGAATTTTAATGAAATGGTAAAAATACGATATGATAAATTGATTTTTTTTTTAAATAAATGTGGAATGGCGTTTAATTTACGATTCCTATATCAGTTTGTGTTTGATTATCGATATAAACAAATGTGTGTATAAATATATTCGTTTATTGTATTATTTCTTGGTAATATCTTTTACAAAGTTTATACTGACCAAATATGAATTTATACTTAGTGAACTTTTAATTCTTGCTTCATTGAACATTATAGCGCTACACTAAAAGTTATAATTTCTAACTATTGTGTTGCAATCGGTATATTTTTGATATTTAAACTTTACCACGTTTTGTGTATTTTGTGAAACACGCGTTTCACAAAATATTTTTTCATATTTTGTAAAACTCACAATTTTACCCTATACAATTTAACGTATGTAGAGATTATTAATTACGCGCTTAAAAATTTAGAATTTCTTATCACACATTATGAGTCTTAAAAATCAAGAAATGGTCTTGAGTAATACCCTAACTACATATAAAATTAATTCAAGTCCGGTAAACTTTAAGTTCATACTCAAATTTATCGTGTTGACTTTTATTTTTTTTTTTGCTAATAATTAATTTTTCAAAGTAAGAATATCTGATTTTTTTTTACTACTAAAAAATGTAGTAATAAAAATATAAACGTATATGTTGGGTATTTGGTCAATTCAGGAGCAACGAGGTTCTATCGGGGTTGTAGAGTCCGAGGGTTTTGAACAATAAAGACAAATAGATATAGAAATAAATTATTAAAGTTTCTCTTTGTTGAGGAATAAAAAACTAATTAATTGGTAAGTACCTTTAATAAGACACTGAGACAACGAGGCCGTAATCTGACCCACCAATACCCAGTCGAAGTGTCAATTAATACAGTCAGATATACATTAGGTTTTTACACTTTTTTCAGGAATGGGGCGGTGGTAATGCGACCCTCGAGACCTGTAATGTGTATATGTAAAAGTGCGAACAAATTAGTAAAATACCAAAGATAATATTGATTTATTGCTTTCTATTTCTATCGTTCTTCACTCAAATTATTAATTCTAAATAATTGAGATAATATAAATTTACTTCTTTTAGGTTGCTTGTATAAAGATCGTCGATTATTAAAATATTAAATATGTAACCATTTCTTTAAATCGTGCTAAATTGCACACACGAAATTTATGTAATATATCTTTTCGAATAAATAAATAAAATCCAGACTCATAATAGTTATATTTTAATATTGTATTAAAGAGTACCGACGACAACACGGGGTCGCGGCTAATTGAGAAAAGTGCACTGGACTAAAGAGTTCTGAATTCTATATTTAATTCAGAGCTTCAAAGTAAAAAAAAAAAGTTGGAGAAGAGCCGCTCGCTCACTGATGTGCAAGCAGAAGTAAGCCTTTTTATACTATTTTTCACTGCCTTTACTTGGGATATTGTCGTCAGCGCTTTTAGTGATTCTCAATTTATTGTATTAAATTGAACATAACATGATAGTTATTTTAAGATAAGATGCATAGTATACAATAATCAATTTAACACATATATACATATATAATAGCTAGTGTACAACAGCGTATGTTATGACAGATAAATAAATTATTTGTTTGTATATAATTAATATAAAATACAGATTATACATTTTTTTCGTTGATAAATGTATGATGCGTAATGCAAAGCATTAGTAATATTACGACAAAAATCAGCTACTAAAAGGACGGTTGATCCTTCCTGCTGCTCTCGAATACTATGTATGCTGTCTACTCATATTCATGACAATTATGTTTTCTAATATACAAAAAAAAAAACTTATAAATATCTGACAGATTGCCGATCAGTAAATATTTTCATTATTATTTACCTGTGAAAATCTCTGGTAAAAATTAACACAGTAAAGTTAAAATTTAAGGGCTATCACCCGTCAAGAAAAACAATGTTTTTATGAATTCAGATAAGCCACTGGTAATTGGAACCCCGGTACGTCGATAACAAAGTATAAGATAACTAGTTTTGATCGTTCGTGATGGAGCAGTTGATGAGTGAGGGTACTAAGTCACCGACGTTCAACAGGAAATTCGTCACATAAATGTCACTATGGGCCAACACAAAATTCATTTTTTTGCATAAAAACCGTTTCGTGAGGGACTTTTATCGAGTTGTATAGTCACCAAAATCTTTGATTTTTCACAGATAATTTTCTTTTTTATAATTTGGTAAAAGTTNTTTTTTTGCATAAAAACCGTTTCGCGAGGGACTTTTATCGAGTTGTATAGTCACCAAAATCTTTGATTTTTCACAGATAATTTTCTTTTTTATAATTTGGTAAAAGTTTTGGGAAACTAGTATCGATACAGATCAAATAAAGTTGTTTCGCCCAAAACATGTTAAAAATCATTTTATTCTTTAAAATGGCGTCATCTTAAAAGTTTGGATAAATGTTATATCAGCTTTTTTTTTTGTTTTACTTTTTTCTTGGCGTGTGTATACATTTTCAATGTGTTTTTTATGGCATGTCAGATCTTTGAATAACACCTTGAGTTTTGACACCTCAGGTAAAGTTTTATTGCCGTCCCTGCATCTCCTCAAAATTTTGTTATCATACCCCACTACTATTATTATGTATGGATTTTACGCTGTCAATTTTTGATAATATGAATAATTAAAATCGCAGTGTATTTGCCATACAAAATCTTAAAATATTTAAATTTTTTGATTGACGAATAGAAATTAATGATAAATTAAGATTATAAAAAATGTTGTTGCACGGGACAATGTTACCACCTCGCCTTTTCATAAATATGTCCACAAATATTGGTGAAATTAATGTCAACAATAATGACTCAAAATTGATTATATTGATCTTGATAACTCCCTAATTCGCTATCTTAAAGTTCAATGTTAACTGAAAATAAATGTAAATTTCACGTGCCCAATAGCTTAAACATAAACTACACATTTAGGTGTTTTATATTTTTAATATCATTATTAATAATATTTTATAGTATTTTACAGTAAATTAGGTAATACTAATATTTTATATATATATTTTTAAATTATTTGTTCAATATGTATATTATATCACAAATATTTTGTCAAATGAAAGTACCATCTTAAAAATTATTAAAATATGAAATTATTTTTTAATTATTATTATTTTTTTATGTGAATAATTCTAGGGACAAAAATACTCTTGTTTCAGTTTGCAAAAAAATATTTTCATTAGAAAGCTTGGAACCTAATTTCAAATATAATCATATTTTACTAATGGTTCTCTTATGATAGATTATTTACTTAATGCATTTATTTAGTTGAATAATTTTGTAGTATAATTTTAAATAAATACTTGTAATGTATTTTAAAAAATCAAAAACTATTATTTATTTTATTAATTTTTATATTTATTTCTCTACAGTTAAATGATTGTGTTTATAAATTGGATATTTTAATTATGTCTTTTTATATTCCTATTATTACATTGTTATATTATTCATTAAGTTTAAAAGTTTAAAAATATAGTATAAATACATTTGCAAAACAATTGTAGATGTCTTTTGAAATTATAATGAGTAGTATGTTAACGTAACAGTATTAATTTTCTTTATAGTACTTAATGTAAATTTAATGATTTTGAAAATCATTTACCTAAGAAATTTTTATGTTTTTTAATTAATTATTCCTTTATATATTATTGTTGTATAGGAAAGGTTCAAATATGTATTCTCAATTTTGCAATTCTAAAAGTGATTATTTTGACTCTTATGTCTTGCTCGAAAAATTAACACCGGAAATTACTGAAAAATATAAGTAAGTTATTTAATTTGTATATTGTAAGTCACTATTAATTAAGAGAATGATACACTCTTTTTTGTGGGTGCTAAAAATACCATTGTAGAACCTGAAAGTTAAAATCTATATTATAAAAAACTTTTTTATGTCAATTTTTTTCTTTTTTTTAATCCAATCATTTATTAATGTACTACGGGAGCTGAAAAAAATGTTTCATTGTTATCTTCAATGAGTAACAAGCATCATAAGCCAAAAATCTAGTACTTTTTGGTAAATATGACAGATTTCTTAAATTTATTTCAAATATGCATTAAAGAATTTTACAATATTGATTAAAATTACTATCAGATATTAATCAATACTAATCTAAAAAATTACTCAACATTACTATACTAGATCCCGATCATACTTAACTTTTTTGTTTTAATTTTATTCAATGTAATATATTCTTAAAAAAAATTGTTTTGTTTTAGTTTATCCTACATAAAAATAACAAATTAAATAAATTACAATAAATAATATTGTCTATGATTTTTCAATGANATATTTTGTTTTATAATTAATAACTTTTTAATGCTTTAAGGTTCATTTTATAGTTGAAAGGCTATTAGTTTTACTCAGTTGTTATTTTTTTTTTTTGTGTCACTATACATAATTATTCTGCTCTTAATGAATTGATTTTGCTTAACAATATGTCATAAGATCATAAAACTTATCTAGTTCATGCTATCTGTGCAATAATTTTTAAAATTTATTTAAATTCCTATAATATAGGTAAATGTTTCTACATGTGTTATAAAACAGTTAATGTTGATATTTTTAGTGTTCACTTTATATTAAAATAATTTTTATAGAACTGAACAAAGTACTGTGAATATTTTTTTAATAATACTTTTTCCTTATTGATAACATATATATTTAATCCAATCATTTATTAATGTACTACGGGAGCTGAAAAAAATGTTTCATTGTTATCTTCAATGAGTAACAAGCATCATAAGCCAAAAATCTAGTACTTTTTGGTAAATATGACAGATTTCTTAAATTTATTTCAAATATGCATTAAAGAATTTTACAATATTGATTAAAATTACTATCAGATATTAATCAATACTAATCTAAAAAATTACTCAACATTACTATACTAGATCCCGATCATACTTAACTTTTTTGTTTTAATTTTATTCAATGTAATATATTCTTAAAAAAAATTGTTTTGTTTTAGTTTATCCTACATAAAAATAACAAATTAAATAAATTACAATAAATAATATTGTCTATGATTTTTCAATGATATAGTAAAGTTGGTAAAGTAAAAGGAGCATTATTAAGTTTGGGGCAAAAATAAATAGAGGATGGGGTTGAAAGTACATCATTCTTTTTTATATTTATTGTATAAATAAAATTTGTTAAATTTTGTCTTAATAGAAGACAAGATAATGTAAATATTCAAAATGGAAGATCTTATGATAAAACTTTTGATAGTCCTGATTTACAAAAACAATTCACACCAGATCTTATTAATACATTTAAGTAAGTTTTCATAAAATATTCATGTAATTAAAAGTTTTTGTTAATATGTATATTTTTTTCTACTATATAATAAAAAACAAAAAATAGTTCTCAATGTTCTTCAAGTGAACTATATGAACCTCAGTCGCAAAATTTAAATACATCAGTTGACCTGCATGAAAAATTAGAAATTAATGAAAAAAATTGTTTGGTAGTAGAAAACGATAATGAAAAAGGTTGTTGGAATATATCTGGCTCTGATATTTTAAAACTAGAATGTGAATTAGATAACAAAAGTTTTGTTTTTGATGCACTGTCAAGTCAACCCTTTTCATCATTTGACTCTAGTGGTATAGAATATTATGAAACTTTATCTGAGAGAAGTATCAATTTCAACCAACAAAACAATTGTAATGAATTATTTTTTACTTCTACTATAAATAAAAACTGTGATCTTTTGTTACAAGTTGAAGAGATACAGTTAATTTGTCATTTCTGTGGCAAATTTTATAAAGATGATAAAATATTTGCAAAACATGTCAAAAAACACAATTTAAGGTTTGATTGCATTCATTGTTCTGAATTATTTAGCGATAGATTATCTATGTTGTTACATATAAAAAATTCTCATAAAATTACTATGTTGTATAATTGTAACATATGCTTAGAAGAATTCACTACCTTAAAATATCTAGAAGATCATACAGCTTCATGTGTTTTTTCTTCATCTATGAAAACAACAAATGTTAGTAATAAAACAAATATTAAAAATATAATGAAATTAAAATTAAATCGTTTAAACTGTTTTAAATGCGATCATTGTGAGAAGTGTTTCCAAAAAAAAATTAGTTTAGCAAATCATTTAAAAATATTCCATAATGCATCATCAACTTTTCAATGCAGCTATTGTAATAAAATAATAAGAAGTAAAAAGGACTTGATTAATCACATAAAGTATCATCTAATTAAAATAGTAAAAAATTCAATTGATAAAAAAGTTGATATAAAAAAAAATATATATACACATAAAAATTTATGTTTTATCAGATGTAAAATTTGCAAAAAAAGTTTCAATAGTAAGAAAAATCTTATTAAACATAATGCGAAGAACCATATGGAAAAAAAAATTTTTGAATGTCATTTTTGTAACAAAAAATTTAGGAATAAATTATCTATAGTTAATCATATAAATTTACATTTGGTTGAACAAAGTTCAAGGAATGAATGTAGACAAAGAGATCTAGAAGAGAGTGTATTTAAATATAATCATAAAGAAGAAACTAAATATCTAGATCAAGTACTTACTGTACCATCTGATAAAAGTTTACGTTATAAGTGTGATTTTTGTTCTAAAGAATTTAAACAACTAATTAATTTTCAAAAACATACTTTACTAGATAATGAAAATAATTCATATGATTGTAATTACTGCAATAAGAAAATAAAACTTAAAAGTTGTCTAAAAAAACATATAGAATGCCATTTGGAAAAAATTTGTTTACATACTGAATTATTTACAAATACATCAAATAATTTATCAAACATGCTTTGTTATACTTGTGGGGAACAAATTCCATCAAAACATAATAGCCTAACATCAAATAATAGAATCATGGATTCCATTGATCACCAGAATTTTGTGCAAGAAAAACAATCTGACAATAATCAAGTATTTAACCAGTATTCTTTCCCAAATTATAGATCTGAAAAAGAAAATTTAAATATAAACTTGGTAAATCCAGAAATTGATATTCGTTCAAAATTTAATCTGTCGTACCATGAAAATACTAATGAAATATCAAAAGATTTAATTATTGACCCCAAGAATAAACCTTTCATTCATTCAAAAATATTTAATTTTCATCAAGTTGGTAATTCAAACTTAAAGTTTTCTTGTGTTAAATGTGACATATCATTTTCAAACTATGATATTTTAATAGAACATATGGAAAGCCATGAGAAAAACTTCTGTGTTATTTGTGATAGATCATTTCTTAATAAAATAAATTACAGAAAACATATGCAAAATAAACACATAAATGTTATACAACATCCGTGTAACCAATGTAACAAATTTTTTTCAACTTATGGTTCATTAAAAAAGCATTGTAAAGTAGTGCATGAAAAAATTTATGAGTTTGAATGTAATTACTGTAATAAAAAAATGGGCCATAAAAGTCAATTAAAAGGTCATATATCTAGACATCATCATAATGAAACTGGGGAGCGTCATTCATGCAATATTTGTGCCAAAATTTTTTTTACTCGTTCTAACTTATTAAAGCATCAAATTATTCATTCACAAAAAAGAATGGTTTGTTATATTTGTGGAAAATCTTATAGTGGTACGAGAAGTTTTGAAATTCATATGAAAATGCATATTAATCCAGATAAGTACAAGTGCCAAATTTGTGAGCGCCCATGCTTAAATAAAATAAATTTATCAAAACATATATTAACCCATTCGGGATGTATAATAAATTGTAATATCTGTGATAGACCATTTAAAAGTACTCATACATTAAAAAATCATTTAGATTCTGTTCACGGCCAAAAGGATAAAAATTTTTTATGTGACCAATGTCCTAAATCCTTTAATAATAAACAAAAATTACAATTTCATACACTTGTACATACAGGCCAAAAACAATTTGTTTGCAAAACATGTGGTAAGAAGTTTGCTAGAATTTACACTCTAAATATGCATAAACGTGTACATACTGGAGAGAAACCATACAGATGTATTGAGTGTAATAAATCATTTTCAAGACCATCTAACTTTAAAGTACATATGAAAATGGAACATTATGGACGCATATGTGATATATGTGAACAAAAGTTTGACCGTTCAGTTGATTTAATTCAACATGAACGTACTCATAAAAAGGACAACAAATTTTTTTGTTATGTTTGTGACATTGAGTCATATTATTTTAAAAAAGATTTAAAAAATCATATTCTAAAATGTCACAAAAATTTATAAAAAATAAAATGTGTATATTTATAGATGAAGTGTCATAATCAGATATTTGAATTGATAGTATGTAATATAATGTAATTTTAATAATTATTTAAATTTTGTGATTTTTAATATATATTCTTCAATGATTTATTTTTATATAATAATTTGATAATTTTATGGTATATGAAACTCTAATTTGTACGATTCAACATATTGAATGAATGTTTTATTTATTTATCAATTGTCATGTGAACTAATTTATTTTTGAACAATTTTAAGTACACTTGTATAAGATATCATAAATAAATTTTTTTTTTTTGACCTTGAATAAAAGTATATTTTTGGTGTTAATAATTAAATCTTGGGGCATTATTACATGAAGGTGATCAAAAATTATTAGAAGACATGTGACTTTCAAAGTTAAATTGCATAGTGGCATTTTAAGTCAATATAAAAAAACAGTATCCATTTATAGGTTTTCATTACTTTATTTTACCTATATTCACAGGAAAAAAATATAAACAATAATTTGATTGTTAAAACTTAAAAAGTTTTTAGAGAAAAAACTTAATAAATTAAAATTAACAATTTAGTAATAAATTTGTACAAAAAAAAAAANACAAAACAATACTGGTTTTTCTTTTTTTGTAAGTTACTAGTATTTTACAACAGTTCTTCAAATTTATAACAAATAAGTATAAAAAATACATAATAAACAGAATGAAGTACATTGGTTGCAAACAAAAATTACAATATTACAGTTTAAAATACTATTTAACGGCAATCAGGGCAGTACCAATTTCCTTTCGGGGCAACTGTGATACCAACACAATCAAAGTGAAACCATTCTACTCGACAGTTAGGATTATCACATGCAATCATCTCAGATACCTCATCATAAGGGCATCTACAGTGACAATATAATCTTTCAGTACTTTGTACTGCTTTTTGTTCAACAAATTTTGGTAGCTCTATAATTAAATTACCAGAGTCGTCGCTGTCTGATTCATTGGAAACGGGAGGTAAATTATTTTTGCTTAATCGTACATCAACAATTGGTCTTGATTGTTGAGAAGTAGATAACTTAGGTGTATTTTGGACTAAATAAGATAATTCTGACTTTAATTTTTTTTTTACTTTTTTTTTCTGAGGTGGAGGAGTTTTTTGAGGATTTATTTGAATTTTAAATGAGTCTCCATTTGCAATTTCTTCATCACTACTGTCATAACCAAAAAATTTTCTTTTTTTTGGTTGTCGTTTGGACTGACGAGTATCATTAGGTGACAAACTACAATTAGTTGTATTAATGGTATTTGTTGAATAAATAGATGAATTAACTGAAAGTGGAGAAGAAGTATATGGCATTGCTTTCAATATTTGAGAAGAATTCTTGGAATTCGGAATAAACTTTGGCTTGGTTTGACGTTTTGTATATTTCTTTTTAAGAGATGACGACTCTATCGATTTGTTTTTATTTGAATGTGATAAGATATGAGAATTTTGTATTTCATAATTGTTATCTAATATTATACTTAAGTCTTCATGTACATCATAAATTACACTTCTACCATTACATATCTCGGCAGAAGTTTTATTTAAGTCATTTTTTATATTTGTGTCTGTTGTATGGGCTACTTCATTATTATAGAATGATGGTAAACTATCAATTGAAGTACTATGATTCTCTTGTTCTTTAAAATGAAAACAATCACTCTGTTCGTTGTTCTGTAGTTTTTGAGATTTTGATACTACAGAATACTGTTGAGTTTTTTTAGAAATTTTCAGTATGTTATTTTCAGAAATAGATATTTGAGGTAAAAATTCATTTTGAATTTGTAAAGGGTCCTGATAATTTTTAACTTCTGGATTAATTTGTTGCGAACCATCTATCAAAAGTTTACTTATTTCAGGTCTTAAAGATACTGGATTGATATCATAATAATCTTCATTATCAGTGTTTGAAAATTCACTTTCTAAATCTGATTCCGCTGCACCCAAGTTAAAATTAGCAATTTTTTTAATACTTAATATTTTAACTTTTTTAACCTTCTTCTTTTTCTTATGTTTTTTTGGACTCTCAATAACAATATCATTTTTATTTTCTGTGTGAGATTCACATGAAGACGAACAAGATGAAGAACAAGAACAATTGGACCCACATGAACTAGATGAAGTTGATGATTCACAATGTGAAGTACATGATGATCTCTTGCAGGATGAGTTATTAAAAGAATTATTTAAAATATTTTCATTTCCATTGTAAATAGGTGTATTAATTTCATCTTGACAGAGTGGAGATTTAGGTTTTTCAGTTTGACTAGGTGATACAAGTGTATAATCATGATCTAATAATGCTATATGGACCAATTCTTTTTTTTGTTTACTTACATAATCCCAATAATTATTAACGCTCGGACTAGGAGATTTAGCAAATTTATCAGATTTGTATCTAGGTGTTTTTTCTGTTTCACTATCAGAAGATAGATTTAATGGTGGAAGATTGTAATTATCTCCTTTTTTCTTCTTTTTCTTTTTTTTAGTAGGAGATGTTACTTTTTTGTGAATGATTTCATGTTTAACTAGTAATTTTTTTGTAATAAATTTGCTATGACAAAGATCACATTCATATGGAATATTACCTGAATGCCATCTTTGATGAACTTTTAGTAATAGAGCATTAGAAAATGTTCTTTTACATTCTTCGCACGTAAACGTTGCTGGTGGAACACAAAAGTGGTATGTATATGGCCATTTTTTGGTTAAACATAATTTACATTCTTTACTATCTCTATTGTGTTTCCAAAACATATGTTCAAATATATCTTTTTTACTAAGATAAGTGATGTTGCATTTTAAACACATATGTCTCATTTTGTGTTTATTTACATGCAATGCTAAAGTTTGCTGATTAGGAAATGTATCTAAACAGTAATCACATGCATTGTGGGCTTTTCTCAAATGTACCATACATCTAAAAGCAGAAGGAATTTGACCTTTACCACAGAATAAGCATCTGAAAGATAAATTTTTCCAATTGCCAAGATCAGTACCTGGACACAAGTGGCAATGTAATTCACCATAGTTTGAAAAGGTAATTTTACACATAGTACAATCAAAGGTTTTTCTTGAATGTATACTACGTTTATGGGAGTTCACTTCTTTCATTTGTTGGGAAGTAAATTGACAGTTAAAACAATAAAATATATTATTAAATGGAATGTGACATGATTCATCAGTAGAATCAAAACTTTCAGAATTAAAATATATATTTTCTAATTCATTTAATTTGCTCTTCAATATTTTTACAACATCTTGAGAAGATTCATTTTTAACAGTCATGAATCGATGATGTTTTATCATATGTAGAGCTAGTTGTTTAGCATTAACTGCCACACAAGTAGAATTATGACAATAAATACATGTTAAGCAGGATGTTCTAATGCATTCTTTCAAAATCAAATTTACATTCATGTCATAAAGTTTTTGATCTAGTGTTAAGGCCATAACTGGTAGTTCATCGTGGCAATTTTTAGATACTTCATTAGAATGTAATATATCTGAACCATTTACCCAAGGACTTTTTTCTGATAAAACTGTATTCATACTTTTAATTCCTAATTTGAATTCTTCATCAACGTTAAGAGACTGTGATGTTTTTATATGTCCTGTTATATGATTTTGTTCAGTATTATTATAAGTCATATTAACAGTTGAATTATTATTTATTATGTGAGTATTTTTAGTGACCACTGGTTTTAATTGAATTTGATTAATGTCTTGAATATTTTTCGATAATAAATTTTTAGTACCAGTCTCATCTGCTATAGAAATGTCAGAACAACTTGTTTCTTGCAATGTGTGTTCAAATAATTCATCTTTAACAGCTTCATTAATTATTGAGTTAATAATTTCATTGATAACTATTTCTTCTATGGTATTTTCAGACATTTTACAACCCAAAACTACATCTAACACATCTAAATTGTCTAAGAGTAATTCATCATCTTCAGAGCTACTTTGTGATAGTTGAGATGTTGAAGTAGGTGGAATTGGAAGTCGAGAAGTGCTTATAGGTCGTGCAAAATATCTTTTATTTACACATTCGCTAAATACATCTTGAGCTTTATTTATGTACTCTGAAGCTACTAACTGATGAATATCTTGTAGATGACTAATTAAGTCCTTATGCTTGATAAATCTAGCTCTGCATACTATACAAAAGTATTGACAATGAGATTCTTTAATGTGATCAAATAACTTCATAGTTTGAAAATTATTTCCACAAATATCACATTTACTAATATTATTATATAAAGATATTTGTCCGTATTTACCGTTTGGTCGTTTTACTTGTTTATAACTACTTGATTTAATGCTGGTATTTAAATTATTTTTCATGGCCATTTTCATTAATCAAACATTTATACTATTCTTTGTACAATCAACGTATTTCTTTAAAATTATCGAATCTAAAAAAACATATTAAAAATTAATAAATTATCTATCTTATTATTATAATTTATAAAAGTATAATTATTAATGGTGTATGCAAATAGATTATGGATAATAAGATTAATACATCTTACAAAAACTATAAATAAAATAAAATCAACAAAATGATTTCTATAGAAACAGCTATGTTTAAATTATTTAAGTTCAAAGTAATAAGATTACAATTTTTCAATGAAGCGAGTTTACGCATTAATTATTTAAAGAACAAGTTAGTACCAAACATTAAAAGAATATCTTCTAATTATTTAATTAAATTCAAATATTCAATTAAAAAAATAACATAATTTTAAATAATATAGGTTCATTATATTAAAAATCTACACAAAAATTGGATCATTTTGTACAACCATTATTGAAAGAAAATTGTATTTTTGAATCTATTTAGTAAAAAAATATGTTAGAAAATAGATAAACGAAAAGCTGTGTCATTTAAAGACTATAAGTTTGTTTGAAAACTATCATACCTGTAGACTATCAACATTCATAAATAAAGATCTTATATAATGAAAGTAGCAAGTATTGATTTAACAAAAACTTTATTGTTGTACAACATGAAAATTAACAGTAATATGAGTTTAGAGCGACAAACCCGATTAGTGTTTAATTCACAGCAATTGATACCCCAATCCGGTCGCGGAAAATGGCGTCTGTTGACAACATTAAAATCAACAAAAGTTATCTTATAAAATTGTCATTAATTAATGTTTACGAACGTCAATGTGTATCTTTTTAGAATAATGATCTATATTTCACATTCAAGACATTCGATTTCATTTATTAAAATTTAATGTCAGGAAAAATGTAAAGTGTTATTTGTTAGTCACTGAACGACACTACCTCGTGCGTGACCCTTTTTGTTTTGTTGAAATTATTATGTTGTTATAAACCATATTTTGGAACCTTTAAAATTATTTATAATACATAACATCACCTTTTCCATTTTGAGATTAATAAGGATGTTATTATTATTATTTTATTAATTAATAAATTACAAAAAATCTTTTATTATTAAATAAAACTATTTGAGGTTAGGGCTTAGGTTTTATGATAAATAGAAAAGTGGGAGCATAGACATTGAGGTAAATTTGTGTATACACCAAAGAAAATATGGTTACTGATTAATGGTAATCTAGAGAATTATAATCAGACGTAAATATTGTTATCTACTTATTATTTTAACGATAAGAATTATGTACATCACTATTATTATTATTAACGATTTAAAATATAAGTTTCAATTGTTTTATTTTAATTCGAAAATTTTCATGATTGGGATTTCCTAAATTAGTCTTCCATAAGATACTTTATAATAAAGTAATAATATACTTTATTTGTTATTAGTTTTGAAAATTTTGAATATAAATAATGAAAATTATATAAAAAGGTTGGAGAATATTTATTGATGGCTGATCAACCAGATAATAATAGACAGCCTGCATACGTACGATTTAAAAATGGAACATGCTATGATATTGAAGTCATATGGATTAACTTTCATAAGAAAGAAAAATCCTACTGTATTTTACCTTCTGAAAAATTTTTAGATGTCAATACTTATGCTACACACCCGTGGATATTCAGGTAAATTGAAATTTGATTGAATATTTATAATGCTGTTTTGTATGTTTGATTTTAGAGAATGTATATCAAAAAGTAGAATGGTAGTTAATGGTAAAGAAGTGTTTATGGCAAGACCTTGGTTAGAAGAACATAAACGTCTTAAATTTAGTCATCCTATTAATGTACCTTTAAGAACAATGGTATTAATAGAAATGCCAGTAATTGAATTACGTCAATTATGTTTGTTAAATTTAGCTAAAATTTTGACACATGAAGATGAAGTCAAAACATTAGAAATTCCTATAATTTTACAGAGGGAATTGGTACAAATGATTTGTAACAAAGAGGAATGTAAAATGAAACTGACTAATTAAAGTATACTATTATGTATCATTATTGATATGTTAATAAGTTGCTTTAATTATATTGTATTGTTAAAGGTAAATGTACATAATTTTTGTTTATAAGTAAGCGAGTTAAGTAAAATATATTTTTCTTAATTAATTTTTTTTTATAAATAAATAACTTTTTATGGTAAAAAACTTATTTTTATATGAATTTATATATCTGGTTATAAGCTAGTTTAGTAAACTGTACATCAGAGGTAAATTATTGCAAGTTAATTTTTTTTTCAAAAATGAGTTATGACTGTTGAATAAGTATTTTAAAATAAATTCCATTGTTAAAATAAAAATTAATTTGTGATAGTTTACTTCTGAAGTATACAATTTACTAAATGTATATAGTTAGATTTATTTAAATTTTGGTAAATTTCATTGAACATCTCATTTTTAAATTAAAAAATAACTATAAGACTTGTTATAAGAAAAACAACCTTTTGGTATGAATAATTAATAATACAATATTTATATTTAAAAATATTGCAGCAGATTTTTTTTAAATCAATATACATATCAAACATTTGTACAAGGAAATGTAACTTTATTTCAATTAACTGCATACAAATTGAATTTCATGTAATTAATGTATCATCTAGTTCTTCAACTTTGCTGTCTATTTGTAATGATGATACTTTTCGTAACACTTTATTAATGACATCATTTAATGCTTCTCGAGCTCCAATGTCTAGCAAGTTTAAACAAGCCTAAAAAATTAAAAAAGGAATCAAATAAATTTCAATTAAAAATTTTAAGGTGAAGTGGAGTAATTGTATATGCATTTTTTAAAAAAGAATGCACAAGTTTTTATTTTGAATTTACGTTTAATATGATAGTAACACATATAGAGACCAGAAATTTTCAACATAAAATAAAATGTGCTAAATATTCTGAGAGTAACCTCCCTCTTTGGGGGAGACCACTATGGCTCTTAATAGGCTGATAAATCTATAAAAAAAAAATATTCTGAAAAAAAAATTAATTTACAATTACCCCATTTGTTAAAATTTATATCACTTAATCTTATTTTAATCTAATATCAATATTTGTGTTTATTTATTACTATATACCTCCATTTCAGGTCCTAGCTGCTTGAAACAATATAATTATCATTAATTAATACTCTTAATAGTTAAAAATTCACTGTATATCAATTAATATCATAATTTTTTTAGCTAATCTTTCAACACCAATTGGCATACAATTTTCATTTTATAATGGTTTTGTATTCTCTGTATGAGACTGAATGGTATAAAATTATAAACTAACAAGGTAGTTATGCTAAATTTATGTACGCAATAAAGTAAAAGCCGAAAAAAAATATAAATACAGTCAACAAGTTAAAAAGGTTATCACAATCTTTCAGATAATTCATAAAGTATGAATTATGATCTGATCTCTCAAGAACTTGAAACTTTTATAAATTAATCACTTGTGATTAGATACATTTTTAAATATCTCTTAGAAATAAACAACATAATTTTATGGCAATTTGTGAGATTTTGTGTTTATGTATTACAATTTTATCAATATTTTTAAAACCTAAAAAAGTATACACTCGGTGTGTATGCAATGAGGCCCTAAAATTTAATTGATGACTAAAAAAAGATTCCTTTTTAACTAAAAAAAATATTAAGATCCTTGCTAAAATTTTTTCATAAAGCTCTGCAATATCTAATGTTGACCTTACCTATACTTTTCAAAGAGACATTGAACACACATAATTAACTTTGCCAAATAATAAAGAATATTAAAATAAATTAAAAATTATTGAATACCCTATATAATACATAAAAAATAATAAAATAGATATTTATATGTACAAGGCAATTGATTTCTTGTTGTTCATTATATTTTTACTGTATAAAGAAAAAATAATTTTGAGATTTTTTTTTGTTTTATTTAGTATTGTTTATTTCTCAATCTATATGTAATTAAATACATTTAAGGTCTATTCCTTATCCCTTATAAGAGTATAAACTTTATTTTTTAATAGTAACATATATATTTTACTAGTTCATGTAATAGAAAATAATCAAACTAAGAAAATAACTGGTTGATAACAAACTTTGAGAATTATTAACATTTTTATGCTGGAGAATTACTGCAGAGTAATGTGTAATTAATTATACTAGTAAAATATGTATGTTGCCAATAAAAAGAAAAATTGTTAAAAAGAATAAGGAATAGACCTTGAAAATATTTAACCACACTTAGATTGAAAAACAAATAATAATAAACAAAACTAAAAAAATTCTGGAAATTATTACTATTTGAGTAGAAATTAAATAGTCAATGATAATTTAATAACCTGTAATGTGGCATCTCCTTGTTGCAATTTAAGAACTGCAATTAATGCTATTTCACTGTTAGACTTGACATAACAGTTCTTTTCTTTAGAACCATTTACTAACATTGGAAGAACTAATTTTAGAAATTCAGGTGATAAAGTAACTTCAGATTTTCCTAAATATAAGCATATATGTGCAACTAATTGTTTTACCTCATTGCTTGTCTGGTTCATTAACTAAAATGATTAGGTTTTTGTATCAACTAAATCTTATATAAAATTACAATGTTATAAATCTCAATAAAAATATATAAATACATAATACATACTCGAACAAATGGACTCAAAAGCTGTGAAGGAATAGTCATATTGGACTTCATTAAATGTAAGAATAAATAACCACAACTCCTAACACCGTTCATAGTAATAGAAATCTGAAAATTTAAAAGTTAAACTAAATTAAAAGAAAAATTGTACATTAGTTACATAAATTATTATTTAATTTTATTAATAGGGATGTTAAAGATAAATACATTTTTATCACATTTTTGAGTATCTATAATAGTTTAATTAGACTATATTTAATTAATTTACTAATGAGATAAGTTTTAGTGGGGCATTGAGGATAATCATTTTTTTCAGAGTATATGTAGTTAAGAAACTATCTCATTGGAGGAGAGGAGATATAATTCTTAATAAGACTATTAATGATTAAAAATAATTTAATTATTAATAGTTGACGTAGACATCATCAGTTTTAAACTTAATTTATAATGTGCTAAGCTCGGTTTTTATTTTGTAGACAAAAAAACTTAAATTACCTTGTCTGCCTGCAAATGACTAAGTAAAGTTTTTAAAACTTTATCAGTATATTGTGCACTAAATATGGAGTCTGGGGATTCTTTAAGTGCAACAAATAAAGCAGAACTTCTACCATGTCTTAATATTGAATCCAAAGATGCATCATCAACTAAAAGTTATTAAAAGAAAATTATAAAAAACACACATTTTATTGTTTACATATTTAGCTATATTACCTAAAATATGATCATTTAATGCAACATTTAACTGTTCAGGGGATAACCATTTACATAAGGCACCTAAGCAACCAGCTGTACTACTTCTTATAGTATCTTCAGGATTTCCTAGTCCCTCTCGTAATGTCATAAATACTGTTCTACGTACTTGATCAGACATTTTATCACCAGCAGGAGAAATAACACCTCGCAAAGCTTGTAGCATTGTTTCTCTAAGTTATATAAAAATGTACATATTAAATTAAATAAGTTTTTAAATCTTAATTTTTTTCAAAATTACATACTTAATGGCTGGATCTTCAGAATTTTTTACACCTGAATGTAGATCTACAAAAATTGTTTCTGTACGAGAATGAACCACAATAAGATGACTTAAAGCATTTGCTGCTTTGAGTCTAACTTGTCTGTTAGGATCTTGCAGAGATTTTAAAAAGGTTGTTTGTAGTTGGGGTAAAAATTGTTTTAAATTACTACCAGTCTTTGCCAATAACAAAGCTACAGTTTCTAAAATGGCAGATTTAATATTCCAGGAATAACGTTCATTTAAAATACGAATGAGAGGTCCAGTCATATTTAGTACGGGTGATGTTAAACCTTCTTTAGCTGCCACTTTTACAACTTCTCCCCAGCCTTGTGCTGCTTGTTCTTTTATCTCAGGATTACCATTCAGAATTGCTTCTCTAAAAATAGGTACAAATGGATCTGCACCCTGAAATTAAAAAAAAATCACATGCGTTCAAGTTTTTATTATTGTTAAAATACAAAAAATTTAACATAAATAAACAATTGAAAAATAATTATACTTTTGGTATACAGAATCCAGGTAAATATTCAAGATTTTTGTTATCATTCATAACAAACTTAATTGCTTGTCTTATTTCAAATATTAAATGATTACTTTGCTTTGTATCAACTGACTAAAAAAGAATTTTAAAAAGGAATTTAGTATAAAAATACTGAAGCAATAAAATATTACAAATATCATTAATGATAAATTTAATTATACTTTGCAAACTGCATTTAATGCTTCCCATGCCAAATGCAAATTTTTCTCATCTTTATTTTTAAACTGATAAATAATACCATGCAATAGTTTTGGTACACAAGAACTATAATCAGCTTTTGTGTGAGAACAAAATGCTGCTAATAACTGTAACGCTGATTGTTTTTGAGATACATTATCAGATTGTGTTGCATCTAATAATAAATCAACCATAGTTCCAGCATCATCACAAACAGCCAATACAACAGCTTGACAATAAGCTAATTCCTAAAATATATAATTTAAATTGAGAAGTTTAAAATTAAACCAAAATTGGTTTTACATACTTCAGTAGCAGATTCAGTTTTAGACAAAGCAGTTAATAGAGCTGGTAGAATTTTATGTAAATATTTATTTAAAGCTTCACCAGCAACTGATGCTAAAATTGATAAAGCTTTTGTATTGATTGGGGGTTGAGTCAATTGAGGAATTAGGTATGGTAAAACTACTCTTGACTTTACTGCCATTACTTGACGTAATCCATCAAGTGTCTTTTCAGCTATTTCTGGATCAGGGTTATTCTATAATAATTATAATAAAACTAAAAAAAAAATCAAATTGAAGTATTTTGAAAATACTAAAAAAAAAAGTACCAAATTATTTAACATGGGAGGTAGTATGTCATCTAAAGCTCGATGACCAACTGTAGAATGAAGACTATCAAATGTTTTAGCAGCAGCTTGCCTTACTGAAGGTAATGGATCCATCAGTGCTCGACTAAAATAAGAAACAATAAATGTTATTATAGTTTTCTTGTTATTTTTATCTAGTTAAAACTTGCAAATTACCTGACAGTTGGTACAAGACTATCGACAAATGTTAGTACCATATCTCGGCTTGTAGAAGCCATTATTTCTGATAAACCAATACAGACTCCTTGACGTTGATCAGCTTGTTCTGATTCTAAACCTTTTTCTAAAATAGGAATAATATCAGGTAAAACTCGTTCTCCAAGTTTTCGAACAAGATCTCCCAAAGTTCTTGCAGCAACTTGTCTTTTATCAAAACTTGTACTTGCTAAACATCCCAATAATAAAGTAAATAATGTTGGTAATATTTCTCTAAGAGTACGTGGAGTATTTGTTACAACTACTTTCCAAACATGTAATGCAGCTTGTCGAACCATTAAGGCAACATCAGAGCGACCCATGTACAGACCAGCTAATACTCTATTACGTCTTTCAGCTCCCAAAGTACCAATAATGGCCTAAACATTTTAAACATAAATATATACACACAATTTTATATAAAAATACATTTTGTTTTTTTTTGTTTAATAATATAATAAAAAATCATACTTTATGAGAATGCTCTGTACCAAAATTGTCATCATCATTTGCTGTTTCTGTGCTCATTTTACCAGATACTCCAGAAATACGATATAATAAGTCACCAAGGAGCTGTACAGAACTAAACATTTTAGAAAATATTTCAATCAATTTAATTAGTAGAAAATTCTTTGAAGTTCATAAAATTTTTTATTTTATATCAAAAGTAATTTTTCACTGGTATGTTATATATTAAGTTTAAAAAAAATTATATATTTTTCTTTAAATTTTGAGGTTTTTTAATTTTATAAGCAACATATAATTAGTTTAAAAAAATATAAATATTATATATTTACAAAATATTGATAATGCCACTACTTTAAATTATTACTTACATTTTATAGTTTATAAAATACTAAACCTATTATTTTTAGAATGAATACAAAACAAATTTATTACCTAAAACGTATACGCCAATTGTCATCAAATAAACCTCTTTCAAGCTCTGGCAATAATAACTGAATAGCTGATTCAGCATACATATTAACTATACGTTGTCCTGCTTTTAAAGCTGTTTCTCGAACAAATTCATTTTCATCTGCTAATGCCTTTAATACAAGTATATATAATTATATGACAACATTTATATGTATATGACTGTACATTAAAAAAATTATTTATATACCTTAAGAATAGGGGTAATAATTTGATTAATGTATGGAATAAAATCATCATTAAATACTACAGGCATATAAATGAACATCATTATATAACCATCTTTGACTTGAGGCGCAATATCAGTTCGTTCTGCAGTTGCAATAATTTCTATAAGATAAGTACAAAAATAAATTAAATATTAAACCTTCAAGTATTCTAATAATTTATATATTATTTACCTGGCATCAAGCTGTGCAGCTTGCTTACACCTAAACCACCCACAACTTCACTTAAACCTTGTGCAGCTCCTGATCTATCAACTGAACTAGCTTCTGATGTTAATGTTTGCATTAACCATGGTAAAAGATCTTGGAAACTAGTTTCTCCCATTCCTCTAACCATAGCTCCCAGAGCACGTGCAGAAACTGTCCGAACTTCTGGTACAGGATCAAGCAATGAATTTTTTAATCCTGGTATTATACTAGGCAAATATGGTGTTAAATCTTTTTGATCAGTTAATGAGTACATATTTCCAATAATTTGGGCTGCCATTTTTCTAGTTTCAGTTGAACGGTCAATAAATGCTCGTTGTACTACAGGCATTATTAGAGCAAGTGATGGAGCGTCAATAAAATGTACAAATTTAGTATTCAATAAAATTTGTAGGCATGGTGCAGTTTTGTTTGATGGATTTTGTAAAGCCTCTAGAAGGACTGGTACAATAGCTATATAAAAACAATAGATATAAATTTACGAATAAATTTTCAATTATATAAAAAATCAGAAGCTTATTGTTAACAGTCACCAAGTATCTTAATTAAAAAAACTTTTATTATAAAGATAAAAAAATACTATGGCTTATAAGATTCCTGATAAATAAAATAATTTTTTTTTGATATAGTGATGTTTTTTTAATAAAACAAATTTAATATTGCATACAATAAAAGTATGGAAAAAAGAACTACTATGGATTATTTTGTAAAAATATTAACTATAAAAATGTTAGATAAGGCTTGATTCATCAAAGACTTATTAGTATAATAATGATGATGAACTTGGGGATATTACCTTAAGTGGTTTTTTTAGGGATAGCATTATTTTATATGACTCAGTTGTATATTCAGAGAAGGCTAAGGGAGCTCGTTCTCTCCTCGATAGCACTTATCACTACCAAAATGAAGTTATGAGAAAAAGAAAGGTCCAAAATATGGAATTTTATAGATGTTTTACTATGGTCTCCCTATTATGAAATACCACTGACTCATTGTATATTAATGAATAATGTTATTAATACAGCAATAATTTTTATCAAAAAGGTGTTTTACCTTGAATTTCTGGATTTCGTATAACTGAACCAATAACTTTTAAAGCTTGAGCTCCAGCTTCCTGGACAGAAATATGTGAATCACTTAAAACTTCAATTAATTTTGGAACAATACTAGGCAAACATGATGAAAGTTGTTTAGGTGCACAGTAAGCCATAGCTCCCAACAATTCCACGGATCCTAAAATTTTTTTTTTTTAATGTTATTAGAACTGAATAACTATTATTGAATATTAGAGATAAAACATGCATTACCAGTTTTAGTTCTCCAAGAATCTCCTTCTAATGCATTTAACAAAGATGGTAAAATAAGTTTAACACCATGAGCTGAAAGTTTACTCATTATAGCCTTTGAACAGTCGTAAGTAGCAGTTCGTACATATTCACTGTTATCCCCAAAACATGATAATAAATGGGGTAAAACATGAACAATATAAGGTTCAAATAATCGACCTAATGTTGAACAAAGCATTTCAAATGCAAATAGGGCACCTTCTCTTTTCTTATAGTTTTTTTTATCTTGTATGGCTTCAGTTAATGTACTCATAATATCATATTGCTTTAAACTGAGTATACCAAGACCTTTAATGACACCAGCTAATCCATGAGCAGCTCCTTTGCGTTCTCCAAATGAAGCAGAATTAAAAAGACGGTTTAAAAGTTTTTTTAAAATGGCATCAGCATCATCTTTTACCATGGGCATTAAAGGTGATAAACAATTAGATACAGCTTCTTGAACTTCTTGTGAAGGTGTAGATAGTGCTTCAAGAAGTCTATTAGTGATAGGTTTTAGTTTAGGATCATTATTATCTAAATGTCTGGCTAAACTTCCCATACAAACAACCACACCCAAACGTACATTATCAAAACTTTCAGAAGATGTTGCTTTCTTCAAAAATTTTTCAAATATACTCATTAAACGATCTACATTATTTTTTCCATGCAAGTTAACAACTGCTACTGCAGCTTTAAGCATATGTTCTCGTACAACATGATTTCTATCATCTAAACTTGTAGAAACAAAAAAATTGACGAGCTGAATTACCATATCATCACTTAATAGCAAAGATAATTGTTCTAATGCCATGGCTACTCCAACTCGACCTTGCCAATCATCCAATTCAATATTATCTTCTAGTTTCTAAATTAATAATTATTAAACATTATACATGTTATAACATTTAATTTAATAAGAAAAATATTTGAATGATACTTAATCTATCAATAATTTTTTTTTAATTATGAATTCTTACACTAAACTAACAATAGAATAATACATTTACATACTATAACTTTACTGTTATACATTGATAGAAGTTTTTTTAGTGCAATATTAGTTGCATTTATAGGTGAATCTTTTAAAAAAGAAAACAAAGCAACTGAAACAGCTTTCTGTACATCAGTAACTGGATGCACAACATCCTCTAGTAAATTTTCTAAAAGACCATTTACTTTTATATCTAATTTTGCAAAATCCCATAAGTCATCTGCTAAATTTCTAAAAAAAAAAATCATTGTTTCTAAAATTTTTTTACTAAATAATTAAAAATTATTTGAAAAAAATTCATTTTATATTAAAACAAAGAGAATAAAAATGACACAATTATATTTCATTAAGTAGGAATAGGATATTTAAAAAATGAAATAGCAAAAAAAAAATTTAATTCAAAGTTTGGTTGACAACATTTAATCAACTTTTAATCATTAGTATTTTATTAATATTTTTAAATGCTAATGAAAATGAACTATATAAGTTGAAACTAACATGACAATGTTAACATATACCAGATGGTCACTAATGTAGAGTAAAATAGTTGAAAAAAACTGTACTTTTCACTTTAACTATTTGTTAAGTATAAATTAGTTTACAATTGTTATTTAAAATAAGAAATATACAAAACTAATATTTTTGAAAAACCTCGATATTTTTTTTAAACATAGTGATAAAGACGTCTTCTTAAATTTTTTTTTATGTCTTTCACTAACATTAAGTTATTTAAATTAAAAATATCACCTTAAGTAATTTTTTACTAGGACTAAAAATATATATATATACACAAATGATACAAACCTATTTTCTTCATATATATCAAATTTAGTTATCCAAATTCTTTTGGTTATTCTTAAAATAATATATGTATCTTTTTTTGATGTTGGGAAAGCTGCTGCAACCATTTTAAGAGCTTGTATAGCTGTATATCGAACTTTAGTACATGGATTTTGTAAAGCAGATAATAAACATAAAATTTCTTCTCGACTTGCAGGATCACACTTTTCCTCAGTAGAACAACTTTTAGCTATAGTTAGAAAAGCTGAAGCAGCTTTATCCTGTAGATTACCAATGGTACGACTTATAATTTCTGATAATAACTCAAACATTTGAATACGAGGTAAAAATTTTGGTCGCTGTAAATCTGAACTACTCTTTGCTTTTGAAACTGCTTTTGGACGTATGGTTGCTTGATTTTGTAACAATGATAAGCTATCATAAACAAGTGGATGATCAAATGGTAAATCTAAAATAACTGCTCTAATAAGGGTAAAAGAGTAACAAAATGCTGGTGAAGTCAGTTCTTGTTTCTTATTACGAGTTAAATCACAAAACATTTTCACAAGTCTAGTTGAAGCTTTTTCTGAAAAATATATTTAATAGTGTTTTAAAAATAATATATTAAATAGTGTCCAAAATTTATTTTGGAGGGGTTTCTGGTCAAAACAAATAGTTTAACTAGAAAAATAAATCAAACCCTTTATCAATATAACAATAATAAATTATTTTAGGGGAATATAGTTTCAAATAATATACAATTTTTTTTTTTAATTAATAACTACTCTAAAAGTAAGAATTCATTTTAAGGGCAGCGGTAAAAAAAAAAAAAAAATTTTCATACAATCTAATCAAACAAATTTTTATAATATGCCACCGAATGTTTTAATTTAATACACAGAGTGTTAAAGAATTAAGGAAACAGATAAAATGTTACTAACAATGAGAACAATAGAAACACTTTTTACTTACTGAACACTCTATATATTAAATGTGGGTAGTTAACAAAGTATTTTATATGAATTACCTATATCTTCTTCTAACCAATTCTTATCTATTTGACATTTTGGTTTTAATTTTCTTAGTGTCAAGTAAGCAATTGATTGAATAAAGGAATGTGATAATTTTATTCGTCCATTATTAATTTTTGGACTATTTTTCGTTTTTTTTGTTTCATCAGCATTAAATGCACAAAAAGCTAAATCAATAAAAACTTTTTTCAATAATGGAGCAGCAATTAACGATTGCAAATTTGATATAATGCCAGGGAGTAAATATTGTAACGATTGTGAAACTAATAGAGGATTTCCAATTATTATACCATTCAACATGGATACTACACTTATAATTTCATTATTCATCTGTAAAATTATTAAAAATCAATAATTAATTAATTGTTTTTTTTCATTCATTTAAATTTAGAATTCTTTCATTTTTTGCTACTTTTAATTAAGAAAACATATATTAACAATAAAAAATACTACAACCAGTATTCATTAGAACAAAATATTGATAAAAGCAGGCAAAATGCCAAATTCCAGAATAAATCATTACGATTTTATATTAAAATATAAATTAGAAGAAACGGTTAGAACAAGATTTTTGCTACAACCAATAATACACAACATATTACAGAAAAATCTTAGATTTTACAATAAAGTAATCATAATACACATAAAACCATAATACTACATACAGTAGCGCTCAAAAGTATTTTGACAATTAGTTTAGACCACTAAATGGCATGGACCTGCAAGACAGTAAGTAGCCGACCATTTTCTAGTGAAGAGTGCAGCAATCTGCAGCTGTTATCCTTTGGAAAAGAAGCTGACAACGTAGGCATAAGTAAAAAAGTCTGTTTTTTTAAAATACAGGGCTCAAAAGTATTTTGACAGGTGTATTTGTTAGCGCTAACACCTATTTTATTTTGTAATTACTTTGTTTTGGTATTTAGTGGCCATTTTTATACATTGCATGGACCATTCTAACCAAAATGCCGAAGGTTAAAAAGTATTCTACTGATCTAAAAGAGGCGGTTAATGCAACATTACAAAGTGGCCATTCACAAGCTAAGAGATTTTGGACTATCTAGACAGATTGTCAGTGTATGGAACCAACAATTTCCATCCCGTGGCATAGTAAAGAATGCTGAAAGATCAGAAATGCCACGAAAAACAACCGAGAGAGTCGATAGGGACATTCGACGGAGATCAGTTGCAAAGCCCCGCCTTACAGCTGTAGATATTACTCGCGATATAAACATTCCACACGGTGTTAATGTTCGTATATCAACTGTAAAACGTCGCTTGAACCACTTGAGTTTGAATGGTCGATGTCCCAGCAGAAAGCCATTGGTTTTTGTAAAGAACCGGAAGGCCAGACTTTCATTTGCTATTAAATACAAGTCTTGGACAACACAGAAGTGGTCGACCATTCTATTTAGCGATGAAAGCAAATTTAATATATTTTCATCAGACGGAATATGGTATGTTAGACGTCCTGTCAACACTCGAGACAATGTCCGCTACTAAGTTCCAACCGTAAAACACGGCGGAGGACATGTTATGGTCTGGGGATGCTTTTCACGAGCTGGTATTGGCCCTTTGATCAACATAGAAGGTATCATGGACCGCTTTAAATAAGCTAACATACTAAAAGATAATGTTGGAACATGCCGAAGAAATTTTCGAGGGTGACTGGCAATTCCAACATGAAACGATCCCAAACATGCCTCAAAACATGTTAAAACCTTTTTGTCTAAGAATGGAGTCTTCGTGTTGGATTGGCCTAGTCAAAGTCCAGATCTGAATACAATTGAACATCTCTGGGACAAGCTAGATAGAAGGATCCGTCAACGAGAAATAACCACCAAGGCAACTCTACTTCAAACATTGCGTATAGAATCGGCCAAAATTCCTCTTTCAACAATTGAAAAGCTGATTGACTTTATGCCAGCTCAATGTCAAGCGGTTATCAGGTCTAAGGGATACGCTACCAAATATTAAACTTTCAGTTACTAATTTCTGTGATCTTGCTTGGTTTTTTGTTAATTATTTTTTAAGAAAATATTTATTTTTGTTGTTTCTATTTTTGTCAAAATACTATTGAACGCGGTAAACTTCTATAAAGCTAATTTCCAATATTTATACTAACGTTTTTGTACATTTTTTTGTTTCTTCTTGCTTTTTTTACGCTTAATCACAATTCAGAGTCATACGATTTATTGCTCCTGTTCAGATTTTTTTTAAATCGCCATTAACGTGTTTGTCAAAATACTTTTGAGCGCTACTGTAGTATTATGGTACTGCTCTATAAGCAATAGGGCATCTCTTAATTTTGAAATTTTACTATTCCACGTAGAATAGATTTTCCAATATGGAAAGAAATAAGATTTACAAAATTTGGATGAGACTGATCAACCCTATGATGTGTGCAAGAGGGTTGAATCAATAGGGTAGTTTATCTAATTTTATGTATATATTTTTTTGTTAAATACAGCTCTTCCAATAAAATTCAACTTAAAATAATTCATAGATGAAAGAAATCCTATCAAACCTTAACAGAGTAAGAATAAAAAATATAGAAATATTCTTATATTCTAATATTATCAAACCTTTCATTTAGTTGGATACTTTTTTTATGATTTGTAGCAACACTTTTCAAAACATACTGTTTTTCTGTTTCACTTTTTGGGAGGATAATATTATAATCAGGTATAAGTTTTAAACTTAGATGCTGTTTTAAGATTGATAAATCTTTACAAAATTTTGTAAATCTAATTTTTTTCCATATTAAAAAACTTAAAGGGGTGGTGAGTCAATTTTCAAAGAAAAAAAAAAGTTCTACTATAACTAAGGACCACTCTAGTAGGCAATTATTAAATGTATTGAACTTTTTATAATTGCCCACTCATAATAAAATTAAGTTACCAATTTTTAAAAAAAATTTAATTCATAATAATAATAAATCAACAATGAATTTCATAAAAAATAAAGAAATAATGTGGTAAAAATATCTGTTTTTGGATTTTGTATTATTATCCATTTAAAATGAGCACTAATAACTAGAGCTCTAATGTTTTTACGTGAATACAAACATACGTGTACACAGGTATCGTGAACACGAGAGTATAACAAAATAAAACACGCATGATTAATATACGTGAATTAGTAAAAGCTAAAATACGTGAACACGTATAAGAGTCATAATCACGTGAATACGTGAATTCGTTAATCACGTGAATAATTTTAATTGATATCAACTGAAAATGTATATTGTTGAGGACTGCGTGTAAATTTCTTTTTCTGGTATAACAGATTTGTATGTTTTTTAGGTCATTTAACAGAAGCATGCAAAACATTGAATTCAATATGAAACAAAATCTACTAGCTCAAAGCAGCTCAATATCAGTGAGCTCTGAGAGATGCTTTTCTACTGCTGGAAATATAGTAACCTCAAAAAGGACTTGTTTGTTGGCAAAAAATGTAAATATGCTGACATTTTTGTACCAAAATAGAAAATTATTAGTTTAATAATATTTTATGTTATTAAAGTTATTTAGGTGTTGAATTATTTTGTTTATTTATTATAATTTGTTATAATATTATTGTTTATTTATACAAAATTATCTTATGTCACTCTATAGGTTAGGTTTTTTTGAATAAAACATTAATTATTATTATTGATTATTGAGCATAATTAGTTTTTTAATTAACTTAAGTAAAATTATATAAATAAAATTATTTTCTTCCTAGGAAAAATATAGAAAACTAAGTTAAGGCTTAACACAAATTTACGGTTATACGTGAATATAATAATTCACAAATACACGTGAATACAACAATTTATGGATACACGTAATTAATATCATAATTCACGGAAAATTTTAAGCAACGGGTCTTATAAATCGAACCTTAATTTCACGTGAACACGTGAAAGCGTGTACACGTGAAATAAGGAGCTCTACTAATAACATATACAACAAGATATTGGCTATAATGAAAAAATCTTGCTAACATTTGATACTTATTGTAATTAATCTCTACCCATAGGTTTAATTTTTAACTTACAATATTCAATGTATTTCTTATCTCAGATTCTTTTTTCAATTCAATATCCATAGCTTCTTTTTGTTTAGGAGATAGTTCAGGTTTTTTCATTTTACCTTCCTTGATTTTTTTAGCTTCTATTTCTTTCCTCAGCATAATTTCTTCTTGTTGTTCTTTAAAAGAATATGCTTTACTTTCTCGTTTCATATTTTTCAAGTTAATTGTATCTTCATTTTCTTTGCTAAAAAAATTAAAAACATTAATAATGGTTAAAAAAAAAAATTGTTAATTTAAGTTTAAATACTTGGCTAAAATGGATTTATTATATAGATCTCCTTCTGGGTGTAAATAGATAGCGTATTCTTCTTCAGTAACATTTATGTAGCTATTATTATTCACTAAACATAGCCTGATTTTTTCTATAATAGAAGGAATGATTATATCACCATTCATTTTTGAAATAGTACTTAGAACGTTCTCCATGCACTATAAAATTAATTAATAGTGTAAATATACAATTATAAATATTTTATTTTATAATTTTATATTACTCGTGAAGGCTTATACTCTTCCATAAAAAGTTTGATAAGCTTTTTTTCATACAATCTAATGAAAACTGATGGTTTTAACTGATAATGATTTAAAATCATAAGCCATAAATTAGGTCTGTATTCTTCTATATTAAACAAATTATATTATTAGATTATTTTTAAACTTAAAAATATACATAAAAAATTTTACTCCACGGATTTGAGATAAAGACTTCGATGATAATTAATTTATTAATATAATTCACAATGCAAACAAATTATTTTCAAGTAAGTTCCTCTGCAGGTTCAGAGTCTTACAGGTTTCACACACATGCGACTGTCTTTACTAGATGGTAACAGACTTTAGAAGAAGTACCCGACTAAACCCATCATTACAGGTTAATAAGAATAAATATTTTACAAAAAGGTATTATTTCAGAATCAGTATAACAAAAATATAGAAAAAATTTAATTATTGAAATGAGTAAAATCCAAAAAATGTATTGGGTATAAGGTTGACTGAGATTTTTATAATAATTTAATACTATTTCAATTTTAATACTTTCTTTGATGTTAACTATATTAATAAAATTATATAATTATAAAGCAATAGAATTTTATTTCAAGATTTTCCTTATTAGTTTAACTATTTTAAATGTATATTTCCTGAAAAAATAATAAATTTCTCTAATACTACTTTAGCTATTTCCTTCATGATTTGTTTTTTTAATGCCCATATAATTTTTACAATGGTTGGAAAAAAATTTATTTATTATTAATGTTTTATTCAAATATTTCACAATAAGGACCATGACTATTTAAAAAAATAATAGTACAAAATGTCATTGAGTAGTAGTGTACTAAAACAATGTCTCCTCATATTAAAACTTAAATATAATTTCAACTAATATAAAATTCTTAAAACCCAATAACATGTATTAACAAAATTACTAAGTCTATTACTAAAATTACATAAATCATAAAAGCACATAAACACAATTAATAAATTAGTATATTATTGATTTTATTAATTTAATCGAAAATGTCATTAATGACTAAATAAATCATTTGTCAGAAAACAATACAATAACTGAGGTAAATGAAAAAACAAATAAGTACTTAGAAAGGATATGAAAAATCAAAATATAACTCATAAATAATTAAATATTGTAAGCAAATTTAGTATATTTACAATTAAAACCACTGGAATTCACAAAATTAATAAATTTAAGAAATATAAAAAAATTATATAAATGCACAATATTAAGCAGACATATAAATTAAAAATATGTATGCGGACTTAAAAAAAAATCTGACAAAACGATTGGATGTAATTTTATTTATGACATCTTAGAAATTTTTCTGGGTGGGTCTGGTGAAAATTTTAAACCTCAAATTGCAAAATGCAGGCAAGCGTTTTTTTGAAAACTCTTAAAATTTTAAAACACTAGTAGGTGAACGGCAAGCTGCACACTATAGTAAATTAATTTATATTTTATATATTCTTTTAAAAGCTATGATTGTACTAGATTGAACAAGAAAACTTATATAACCCAATTGAATCAAACCCCTGTACTTATGTATAAGGTCTTCCCAATTGAGCCAAATAGGCAATCATTTAAAATAATATAATTTTTTTTAATAAATATATATAAATTTGTATAATTATAAAATTACTTATTATAGGATGATGAGATGGTTTTAAACATTCAAATGCCAAATTTTTTTGTTCATCTTCTGTTAAATTTTTTATCTGACATAATATTGAAATTGCTTCCACCAAATATTTAGGTGTGATAATTATATCAATCTATAAAAAAAAATTAATAAATCCTTTACATTTTGTCAATACAAAAAGTATTTTACTCATATTCTGTACATTATTCTGAAGAAAATTCATTATTTCTATTAGTAAGGAAGCAGCTATTTTAGATCCTCCTGGAGACAAAACTATACTTGTAACATTTCTTTTTGTTTCAGCCCTAATTGATGACTTCATTGTTAAAAGACTAAATACTATTGATCTCAAGTATAGTTCAATAGGCCCATTTATTTTATCAAAATGCATGTTTAGGACTAGTAAACTGAATGTACATATTTTATTCAAAACTAAAAACATTAAAAATTAAAAGTCCAATTATTTATATAAAATATTGAATTTAATATATATTATTACTCATAATACTATATTGATACATATATTGTTTATAAAAGCATTAAAAATATATTTAATATAATATATCCATATTCCTAATCATATATTAAGTATATTTTAATTAAGTAATATTTTTAATATAGTTTTAATTTTATTTAAATAATTAGTCACAAGTGATCAATTCTTATTATATAAGTATATTTTAAGTTGACTTCATGTGAATGAAAAATTTGATATTATTTTAATAAACAAAATAAATTATTGATATTGATTTTCAAAACAAATTTTTAATTTTAACATCTTATAGCAATAAAAAAATTTACCTTCTTCACTAAATTGAAGTAACAGTTTTTCTGATAAAAATAATACTTTATTTGTGTTCAAGATTATACTCCAAAAATTAGAAAATCCATTTTCTTCATTTAATTTAGGATTTTCTTTCACTAATTGTAGTAAGAAATAAGAAGTATAAGCAAATTCAGTAGCTATAGGGATCTAAAAAATGTATAAATAATTTACCTAATAAAATATAACAATTAACTTAAAAAAATAATACATAAATTACTAATATTCACTAATTTATAAAAATAATTTTAAATTGAATATGTATTTTAAGGTTTTAAACAATACGTTTTTGAACATCAATATTTTATTATTTTCTGTAATATTTAAATTGGACATTGAACTCATTGAAGGTCGTTTAATTAGCTACAAAAGATACTGAGAATTGACTGGACAAGACTTAAAAAGAAAAAATAGATTTCTGTTCAATGTCCATCCAGTATTCTGATTAATATAATATATAAACATTATTTTGGATTAATTTGTATAAAATCTGGCTAGGTAATATGCCTGTGCCTATGTTTGAAAATCCAGGTAAATATAAAAAATAAATTAAGTTCTACTAAAAATTGTAGTTTTAGTTATATTTTTGTTTGCGTGCTATTTTACAGACATAATTTGGCTTGCTGTGTGGCAACTCGGTATCCATTTGGAGTGGCTGCCGCGCAAGCCAATGTTCGAGGGTTTTCCGCGCATAATCGATACGCACTTTGAGTGTTTAAACATAATTTTTAATATAGATTAACAAACCTGAGATGATTGTGAAGATTTTTCAACAGTTTTTAACAACAAAGGAATTATACTAACAGCAAATTTGCTATGATTTTTTTTAAAAATGTGTGCCATACAATCTATGTAAGCTAATTTAACAGCCAATACTGATGACTTTTTATCATAACCTTTCTGGAGAAAAAAAATGTTATTTAAATAAAAAATGATTAATACTATTAATTATTGTATAATTATTTACTGGAAACCAATTTATTAATAATTTAGGGACATTTTTCTTAAAACAAGTACTCCACAGCATAACAATATGCAAAGCTTGTATTAATGTTTTTTCATGTAGTTCAGTGTCCAAAATTTTAATTAGTTGTTCTATAGTATAATCAGCTATTTCTTGGCTTTTTTCATCATTAGCAACAGTATTGTAGCTTAAATTTCCAATAGCCTTAAAATAATATAATTGGAATAAGTAATTAAAATTTAATTATTTTTATACAACAAATATTACCTGTAAAACATTAATTTTTTGTTCTGAAGTACTTAATTTTCCCTGAGAGCCATTATAAATATTAAAAAAATCCTTGACAATATTTAACACAACTGATGCATCACTACACTTAAGTGCTAGTTCTTTGCATATATCAGCTGATTCAATTCTTGCTTGTTCATTTTGTGAATAAATATTAGCTTCAATATTTAAAATAGTTTTAATAAATAACCAAGAATTAATTTAATATTTTTAAATTACCTGAATATCCTTTTATTATTTCACTACAATGAGCACTTAGATCAATAGACAAGTTAGCAATAATTACAGATATACATTCTAATATTATCTCAGGATTTCGCAACATAGCTTTTAGCATAGAAGGTAGTAATTTTGTTTTAAATATTTCAATTGTGACTAGTTTTAATGTAAATGAGCATTGATGAATGATTTCACGTTCTGGGCGAATTTTGCAAGTAATACCCTCTTTAATAAAGACATTCAAAAAAGACTCCTAAAATGATAATCCAAAGGAAACTTAAATACTTATATAATATGTTAAATTAGATTTACAAACACCAATACCAACATACCATGAATTTTTCAGCAAGTGATATATTATACAAAGAAATTGATTTTAATACATAAGATTCAATAACTAACAAATATGGCTTTGAATCTAAACTTTTAAATACTTCTCCATAATATTCCAGTGATTCTTTTTCACAAAGCCATATATCATTCAAAATATTATATGATTTTTCACAAACACTAAAAGTTAAAGAGTTAAAAAAAAAAAAAAAAACTTTACTCACTAAACTTACTGTGTATTTTTAGATTTAGCTATAGCACTTATTAACAATGCTTGTAACTCTATAAGTTGCGCAAGTTCAGCTTTAAATTTTACAAAAGATTCTTTAAATGAATATTTGATGATAATACTAATAATTTCAAATCCAAAATAAGCTGTTTTTGCTAAATTATTTCTAAATAAGACAAAATCAAAAAAATAATTTATAAATTGATAGGTCAGAAAAACTTTTTTTAACATTATGTAAATTATACATGATAATTATGTAATCTTCATAACTTAATGAACAATTAAAAAGTACTATATATAAACAGAATATTAAGTTTTAAAAACTTATGGTATAATTATAATTTTATTCAACACTTTTTTGAAGAAAATTCTTTACAGAAGGTTTGAAAAAAAAAAAAGATCATCGCACATCATGATGCGCATCATATTTGTTCATCATAGACAGATTTTATTGATTTATTAAGTATAAGGTCAAAATTTTATTATTCAATGAATGTTTACGTTGCAAGTTATTGTAATAATAAATAAATATTTTGAATTTTAAATTCATACAACTTATTTTTAATATTAAAATATTTATTATTAATTAATATATTAGTTTTTAATCATTAATTACTAATAAATAAAAATTTATAATTCGATAATTTAATTCATTTANAATATATATTTTTGTTTACTCTTAATTATTATTATAAGTAAATAATTTATATAAAATATCATAACTCAGCCAAAAATCAACAAATATCAGAGTACCTTTGGAGTGTCTCTGGGCAGACCTGATAAAAAAATCAAAAAAAAAAATGCTGGCAGCAATAAGCATTCCTGATAAAATTTTTAAATGCTCATAGTGTACTAAAAATTTTTTTTTTATCTTCACAAAAAATTTTCGAAGAATAATGTCATCTATCTTTTTTATTATAAAGAAAATTGAACATTAAGAATTTGCCAGAATTGGCTCATTTTTCAATATTTTATTTTATTATAAGATGTAAATATAAGTAAATATTATCTATATATACTTTTATTAATAAATAACAATAGTAAGTAATAAATTATATTTTATATTATAATTTAGCGATGTATTTTCGAAAATTATTATTAATTATAAATTTAAGTAATGTTATTTGAAATTCATTAAAATTTTAAATACTATTTTGCATAAAAAAATTAAAAAAAATTACAAAAGATGCATTTTTTATAAGATATTTATATAGCATCCAATCAAAATTTCAGATTAGTTATTACAGCTATCATAACGCCATTATATTTTTCGTGACAATAGAGTAAGAAAATTAATAATTAATTTAATTAATTTTAATTGAATACAAAATTTTTAAGTGTATGTATTTATTTTATTCCAAATTAAATATATTTTATAAGTTTAATGACTAAGAAAGAAGTTTCACTTTATTTGCACATACCCGTAACAAGCACTGCTTTTTTTTATACAATTATTGTAAGCCTTACTTTTGCAAGCCCTTGTGTCAACTCAAACGCTTGCAGTTTTTCTAACATATCCCAATTTTTTAAGAATCATACATAGCAAATCAAATTTCTTTTCAAGTTTTAATATGATTTTTTAAAAAGGATTATTATTTATAAAATTACTAATGTTTATAATTATTTAAGACACTCAAATGTTAGGAATTATTTATGGATATCAGGTAACTCAGTGGGAAAGCTTTGCCTGTATAGTGAGAGTCTTTGGTTCAATTTCCCATCTATAAGCATACTTTTTCTTCAGTTTACAAAATTTATTACACAAAGTAAATTTTTTTTTTTTTTGCCTGTGACTGAGTCTTAAAACTGAGATGTGTACATTAGTTACTGCTGCGTTTTCAACTTAGCCAAACCATCAAAACTTAAGTTTTCAACTTAAGTAGTTTAAAAAATTTTTATGTATTAATTAGTTTTAATCATTTAAATGATTTATGGAAATATGAATTATTAATCTATGAAATAAATAAATATGATACTAACGAAATATTTATCTGAGGAAAGTTCTTGACGTAATGAATCAATAATGGTGTTAAATTTATGACACAAGATTCAGACTTAGATTTCATTAATGTTTTCATAAACTCCTTTACATAAGACTGTGATTTTAAATCTTGATAGCGACTCAAAGCAATCAACAATGATTCTCCAATATATAACCAAATATCATCACCAACATCTATAAATAAATTTAGATATATTTTAGGAACATTTAAAATGTAACTAATTTGACCATAAATTACTTACTAGACTTGGTAATATTTGAAGCATTTTTGAATAAAACTTTGCGTTCTTTAATGCTAGCTGAAAGAGTTTTGATATGAAAGTCTACAAATTGTTTGTTGATCTACAATAAATAATAATTAATTTTAATTACAATACAATATTATCTCACTATTCAATAATAAAAATATTTACTCCTTTAAGATCAGCCATTATAATTTTTAAGTTTATAATGAGAATTAACTATAAGAATTTACTAATATATATTATTTCTTCATTCTGCATAAATCGTGCTAAATAAAAATTGTATTACTAAAATCAAAATGTGTAAACGTGAAAGTTTCCATATACATGCCTCAGAAATAAGTAAATTGATAAAATGCCGATTGTTATGAACATAGAAACACAATACGAATTATCTTTGATCAAGGTTTATGTTTTTAACCACAGCTTCTACAAAAAGATTACGATTATAGATAAGACAGGTTACTCAACGGGCTGACAATTTTTTGCTACAGCCTAAAATACGGTTTGTCACCTCAAAAACAGCTGTTAAAGCATTGCGAATTTTATAGCTAACGCTCTGTAGCGACCATGGAAAGATCGAGAATCTTCAAATATTTAACTCAAAAAATAATAAAAAAATGCAGATACAAATTTCGGGAACAATGTTACTATTATCAAGGTTAAACACATACTGAATCACTTCTCAGTATGCGTTTAGCATTCATATTTTTTTGTTATAATTAATATTTTTTATTTTAAATTTTATTATAAAGTTTTTATGGAATACTCTTTTGTTGGTAAATTTGACGTTTCTATGATTGATATGATTCACAAAGAAAGTTACTACAGATCCTAACTTTCCTACACGAACAAATTTAGTAAAACTCAAGTTTTCCTCATAAATACTATCCGAAAAAAATTAGATCTATAAAGTTATAGATATAAAGTGTAGTAAAATTTCAAACATTTATTATGATAATGTCAAAAAAATAGAAATAAATAAGATAATCACCAAATAATATAAATAAATGAGGGAACCAGACACTATAAAAAGGGGTTTAAATAAAGAAAGGGAAATTAGCGGTTTGACTACGATCGTCTCCGTCTCTGGTAAGGAAAAGCATTAATTTTTGGATTCGTACGGGCGTTATAGAAATTGTGTATTTATTATTATTTTATAATTTTGTGTGCATGTATTACAATTATATACTTGGAATACAATTATTTATAGACATTCTAAAGACTTAGTATTATTCTATTAAATTTCATTATTATTATAATAATAATTATTTCGTGTGTGCGACTAGAATTAAAGTCGGATTGCTGGTCGTTTAGTCAATGCCAATAGTTAGTATGTAAGCTGGCTAGTCTCCGGGCTAAACCGTCCTTTAGTTGGTTGAACAAAAAGATAGTTTTGCTAGTGCTTAATAAGAAGTGACCCTTTGACTGCTATTTTCAAGCTCATCTGTGTTGACGGATATACAGGCTATCCCTTAGTGGCTCTTAACTTGAGAACATTGGACTAACCTGCGTATTCGGGCAAGAGCCAAAGAAACGCGGTTAACATTTATGAGTATAAGTCGTTTGTTTACGTGTGTGTTTTGGTGCTGATATTCAAAAGCAAAGAAGACATAGAGGAGTGTGGAAATTATAGAGTCATAAAGCTTTTCAGTCATTAAAATGAAGATTTGGGAAAGATAAGAAAATTAGAAATGAGACATCGATATCTAAAAACTAGTTTGGATTTATGCCTGGAAAAAAGAAAAGGCTGTATATGGTATTTATAGATCTAATGAAAGCGTTTGACAGAGTACCGATAGAAATTTTAAAGTGTGTATTAATGAGTGCCAAAAAGATACATTAATATAATAGAGGAGATGTATTATGACATTTGTACCAGGGTAAAAAGTGTGGCCGCAGTAACAGACGATTTTATGGTAAGAATAAGAGTGCACCAAGATTCTGTTTTAAGCCTTTTTTTATTTTCTAGTGATGGATAAAATTACTAAAGAACTACAAGAAGTGCCGTGGTGGATGTTGTACAACGACAATACTGTTAATACAAAAAACACAATATAATTGTATTTGTACAAACTTAGTCAAAATAAAATGCTTTTAATTAATAAATGTATTTTTTTTACTATAGTATATTACAAACGCTTTAATTAAAGATATATATAAAAGTGTCAGTATTTCCGGAAAATGTTCAAAAGTTAATTTTTTGTGGAAAAGTTATTATTTTGAATCGTCTCCTGTAAGCAGGTAAAGAGTCTCATATTAAAAAAAAATATACCAAATGATAGATAAATACATAATGTATTTATAATAAAAAATATACAGTATTTAATAAGTTTAGTAAAATAAAAATTATTTTTTTAAGTTAAAACTATGTGTAAAAATAAATGATCAATTTACTTTGTTACCTAGTAATATGATATATAAAATTTTGTAAATAACACATTTGGAAACTAAATAATTCCAGTTAGTTCTCTGACTTCGTTAGTTGAATAATTTACGCTCTTTAAATAAATAAATTTAAGACAAATATTTCGAATCTTTTGAAAACTTTCTATATCTAAGTGATCTTTTAAAAATATGCAGTTTATTATAACAGTTCTTGTATATTTCAAGATGAATAAAATCATTCATCATCCATATACCATGTCTAGAAGACAAAAAGGTTAGTAGATTTAAATTATATTTAAATAATTTGAATAGAATGAAATAATTTTGCACCGGTACTACCCCTTAATATTTCAAACTTATTAGTTTTTTGTGGTCCAGCGAATTCTTTTTTTGTTAGATTTATAGATGAAAAATAAAACATTTATTTAACTGACTGATTATACCCAATAATTTTTAATCTATGAAACCAATCTTAATTAAGCTAAAACACTATTTTTTAAATGTTTAATTTATTTTTCGAGCATATTAAAAGTAAAAAATGTTTAACACTTGATAACTTCAATTAATTAAATTTATTTAGGTTTAAGACACAGTAATACTGGCTTTTTTAATTTACCTGACGATTCTTATCAAATGGATTTTATACCGAAATTGCCCCGCGTTAGCCACAAAATGTATTTTGAATCAACGCAACAGAAAAAGATGTCTGCAATTGAAAATTTGAAATGTATTTTGAAAGGGGTCTACGGTGATTATATTCGTCCCCAACGTTGTGTTTTAAAAGAAAAAATGGAGTGTGATCCTCCGAAATTGGTAGAAACTGATAAAGTTGTACCAATGGAAGTGGTAACAGAAAAAATAGAGATGGACATTGACATGATATTAGACCTCTTTAATCTGACTCTTTCAGAGGAAAACTATGTAATGTCAACAAATATCGTAGAAAGTCCAAAGAAACCAATTATACAGCCCGCCAGATTAATATTACCTCAAGTTCATTTTAAATGGACTAAAAGTGTTGAAGATTTATATAATTCTTAATATCACTGATTCATTATAAATGATTTCATAAAAATTTATTTTGTTCGATTTAACGTTACTAAAAATTAATATTTTAATAGTTCTCAATACCTAAAAAAATATTCCTTTTACTATCTCGTAATAAAAAAAAGCTCTTAAATCAATGCAATAATTACATCGGCCTCGTAGGCATCTAATTTTTTCTTCAATAAAACTACCATCTGGGACTTTATTATTAACATAAAATATACATTAATTATTTAAATTTTTCCTTTGTAAAATAATTTTTGGTACTATTTGTATAAACTGTCCTTTAATATCAATAATTTTTTAAGAAAAAACAATTTATTTATTTCAAAATATTAATTGCTCGTGTTGATTTTTGGTTACTAATGTTACTGTCCTCGCATAAATAAAAATTAGAATAGATTATAATCTTTTTCGCAAATTTTTTATATTTTATATGTAATTTTATTATTATTTAATTTAATAGAATTGTAATATTTTCTTTTTGTTACTGTGAAACATTTTTATTCGTATTTTAATATTGTTTTTACTGAAATAACATTTTTTTTGTTCTAAATTCTTAATTTTCTATGTTTTTTTGTTAATAAATAAATATAATATAATTTGTTATATTTTTCTGATGTTCAATTTATTTTACATATTATTCTAATAAAATATAAATTCAATAATTAAAAGTGATTGAGAGAAACTCGACAAATATTTTTTAAAATGATATCATATATTAAATAAGTTTTAAGTTTTATACACTGGACTACACGGAACTTTCATCAGAAACAAAACTATACTATTCTAAATTAACTTTTTGCGATGTTTTCAAATGTGCAATTAGACTTTTTCTATCACTTCTAAGTTTTAATATTATTAAAAAATAGTATTTACATATAAAAAAAAATAATTAAGAACAAAAAAAAAAATTGTTTTAAATTATTACTGATTTTGATTATTAATATGTTAAAAGGAAAATTACATATTTAACCTATTTTTTTAATTGTTTAAAGTTGATTTTTGTAAATGTTTATAATAAAAAAAAATAATTTATTTTATCATAACTTTTTAAATAAAAAATTTTATGAGAATTAAAAAAATTGTATCGTTAAGATTAATATGCAGTCAGAAAGTTTTATAATTACTATTTATTGTAAATTTATTAGAAGAGCTCAATCTTTTTTTGCATTTTTATCGTAATAGATAACTTAAATAGAAGTAGTAGTTATAATTTCCTACTAACTTTTGGTGTTTGAAAAGATTCTGCAATTTATATATTCCAGAATACTTTCAAAAATTAAATTGAAAATGTCCTAGTTTCAATACGCATGTTTAAAGTTTTGACCCCCATTGTATAAAAGGGTATGATCGGATTCACAAAAAAGCAAGTCAGATGAAAGGGGTATATAAAAATTTATTATAAAAAATAATAATATTGATCCATACATTTTTCCAAAAGTTATATAAAATATAAATTAAATAATATAAAATATAAAATCGAGAATTTTTTCACGGAAATCGTACGTTTTTCTTTAACTTTGATGTCTATTTTCACCACGAAGACAAGTCCAGAGGTCAAATTTTTTTTTTTTCAAATTAAAGTATATTACATAAGCATTAATTTAAGATATATATAAAAGTGTCAGTCTTTCCGGAACATTTTCAAAAGTTAAGTTGAAAAAGTTAATTTTTTGTAAAAAAGTTACCATTTTGAAACCCTTCCTGTGGGCTGTTAAAGGGTCAAAAGTTCACAAAAATTTATAAAATTATAGATGAATACCCAAGGTATCTATAAAAAAAATTATATTGATTTGGTCATTTTTAAGAAAGTTATGGCAATTTTAAGTAAAAAAAATTGAAAAAATATCGAAAATTAGTGATTTTTAAATTTATAATTTTTTGGGGGATTTCCCCCATTTACGGGGCACTTTTTTTTCAAGTTTTGAGGGTAATGTCTTCAACTAGATACGATTTGTGATCTTTTGACATATTTTTCATCAAAATCATTTCAGCGAAAGCTGAGATTGAGCATATACAGTCACAAAAAAAAACCCAGCACAGTGGGGTCGCGGCATAGTGGGGATGTTGCATAGTTGGGTCCAGTATAGATTTAATCTGACAGTGATTAAAATCACTATCATAAGAAACGCTTCGATGCAAATCAGTAGATAGTGTTTAATTCTAAGAAATTGGTGGATAATTACAAAAGCTACATTATCTGCTAGTTTCTTATTAATACCCTGATTAAGATAAAGTATGTCGAATGAAAAAGGGATTATTAAAAAATATTATTTCTCATAAAAAAATTGTGTTGATTCGTACACTTTTCAATGAGTTATAGCATTATAAAGTTAAAAATGTAACCAACCCAACCCAACATCAACTCCTATTTCCTTAATTATATCCAGATTAGTAATTATTTTAATTATATATTATATAATTTTTATAATTAATTATTTTCAAATTATTATTGATTTTTAATATGTTAAAAGTAATCATTTTGAACCTACTTCTTTTTGTTCTTTAAAGTGAAAGTTTTAATAAAAAAAAAATGAATTTATTACCATAACTTTTAACTCAACTTGCAAGTTTGAAATAGATATTATTAAATAGAAAAAAATGAAATTGGTAGATTATTTCAAAAACAACAATAACACTTATTCCCTTAATTTTACCCCGATTTATAACTATAATATATGAATACATAATAATTACAGTAATTAAATTGAGTATGAAAGTGGTATTCAATAATATAATATTGTAATTTTTATCGAATTTTCGATGACTTGGAGACGATCGTAGAAATTGAAATGTGCCATGTGCTACACTAGTGTCCATTACTCGATTAGCTTTAACGGCAAGTGTGCGTAAATGTTCGTCCTAGCTATAACACATAGAAACCAAATTGAGAACAAGATTTTTAAAGTCAGTATTTTAGTTTCCTGTTGGTATATATGAAATCCATTTCTCAATTACACATAGAGAAAATATCCATTGCTTTTGAATAATTTTGCTGTCATTAAATAACACATAAAACTAATTTTTTTAATAATATTCATATTTTTATTAATACGGCTCAATTAAATTAATTTAAATTCATTAAGTGTATCAAAAAAAGATTTTATTGTAGGTATACTTCTGAAATATAGACTCAATTTGAACAAAATATGTAGTGGGCCCAATTCAACTTTTCTCTTGTTTAATAATACTTCTATATAAATTCATAGGTAATTTTCATCATAATTAAATGTGTGTATTTCAGAATTAGGGGTTCTAAGTCTCTTTAAAATACACTTTTTGTAAAAAAGGTAATAAATACAAACATCATAAGCCGCTAAAAATTCAGGGGTGTGACTTAATTTTTTTTAAACAGCTTAATATTATTTATTATCATTGACGTATCATTAATGTAAAATGATCCCAGTGCTAGTAATGCCGAAATTGTAGACGACTATAAAATTATTTATAATTATTAACTAAAATACATAGGTTTATTAGATATCATTTTGTTAAAGTATAACACAAGCATTATACAGTAAGAAATTGTTTTTTTACAAAAATATCACTAGATTAGCTTCAATATTGTTATATTTACTAACATTGCTTCTTTCTATGCAATTTTATTAGAAAAGTTTTCGCATATTGTATTGTCTATAATCATTTAAAGACTTCTTAAAGAGTAAATCTTCTTAATGAAAAGAGCCTATCAGCCATACAAGGTAAATTTTAACGTAATGGAATTTTTATAGACAATTTATGATTTTTAATTATTTATATTTTTCGTAAATTAAGGTTATATCATCACCATTAATGACATATCAGAGGGTAAAAAGATAACTAAAATGTTTATTAAATATCAGCATAAAATAACTTTATTNCTGTTGTTTAATTATTTATATTTTTCGTAAATTAAGGATATATCATCACCATTAATGACATATCAGAGGGTAAAAAGATAACTAAAATGTTTATTAAATATCAGCATAAAATAACTTTATTGTTATGAATTTAACATGAATGCATTTTGAAGTTTTAGATAAATTTCAAGAATTTAAATAAGAATAGGAGCGTGGTTGGTGCAGTGAATCAGTCTTCGTCTTAACGCTGAAGTTTAGCTGCGCTGTTTGCAGTTGGTTACCGGTTATATGACCATACGGGAACTTAAATAGTGATACACTTATCCAGTTTAAGGTGTGTACCCTCAGCCAGATTGAGGTTGCGTCAGGTTGATGGCCGGTTTAAAAATCTGTCAAATAAATTATATTCTAAAGAAGAAATAGCAGTGTTATAAATGTATAATTTGTATAGAAATATATTATTTGTTATAAAATAAAATATTCTAATTCAAACGTTTTTTTTGTTTTTTCACTTCTTTAAGCAATATTTTCAATTGTTCTTCTCGTTTTGGAAAAATGTCCGCATTTTTTCCAAAATGTTCAATTTTTAATATATTTTGTTTGTAAAATGGATAATTCAAACCTGATACATAGTCAACAGTGTTTTGTTGAGTATCAATTAAATTAGATTGACGTCATAAACTTTGTACAAGTGAAAATCTAGAACATAAATCATTCGGTCCTAATCTTTAGTAAAAAATTTTAGTCATTTTATTTCACTAATTACTACTAATTATTACTTCTTCACAATATTTATATATGAATGAATCCAGCTAGTATCAAATGAAAAATTGATTGTCTTGCAGTAGCTTTTGTGAATATTGTAAAATTCTGCATGAATTTGATATGCCTTGTGCTTTATAAAGTGAATTCAAAAAAGTTAAATGGATGATTACTTTTGGTTCAAGGTACTAAATCTTAGAATCAACTGAACTCAGATATTGTGCGAAAAACATATTATTTCATTCATTAAGAATAAAAAATTATAACACAACTTTTTTAAAAAATATTTTTTTTATTAATATACTCTTAAAAAATGCCTGAATTTTCAAATTTATGTATTGAAAATTTTTAAAACTTACAATATAAGGAAAAATTTTAATAAACAGTAATAAAAATGTTATATTTGTGTACGAATTTTTAATACTTTATGTCAAATTACAGTACTTGTGTGTAAAAGTAACATGTATATTCAAAGTATCATATTGACGTTTAGGAATTTTTGGATCATTTCTTACAGAATAGATTACTTAGACAGTTATAGAAAATCAAAAAACATTAAGTGCTAAAAACTTAATAAAAAATGGTTAAATTAGAATTTTTAGTTGGAACTATTTTATTTTTGAAAGATAATAATGAAAAGGTTCTATTAATGGTGTTAAACATAGCAGTAACTGCTTCTTTTTACAGATAAATCCTTATTGTATATTTTTTTATGAACGGGTCAGGTATTGTGATTTTTTAAACTAATAGTAATTTTTCATTATAACTTTTTAATTCAGTAATTTTAATAATTAGAATAATTTAGATAAGTATATGTAACACATTTTAGAGGTAAGTACCATCATTTATTAAAGTTGGAATCATTTTATCAATTCTGCTGTCTTATAACCCTGAATTTATATCTGTTTTTTGGTATTTTCACACAATGATAAAAAGTTTTCACAGAATAACAACTCTAAATTCTATGTAGCTAATATTCCATTTTTTTAAAATGAAATAGACTTTTATTAAATTGTATTATCACGGTACTGTATTTTATCATACAAATAAATTTTTTTGTAAAATTGATATTATTTAATCGACTAATTATTATCATTTATTTAACTAATTTTATAATTCATATTTAATATTAATAGTTATATCTTTAATATCTAAATANAAATTGATATTATTTAATCGATTAATTATTATCATTTATTTAACTAATTTTATAATTCATATTTAATATTAATAGTTATATCTTTAATATCTAAATATAACTATTAAAATTGTATCTTAAATCATCAATCATTAATCTAGTAAGGATATTTCAACATTTAAATTTATTTATTGTTATTAAATTAAAGTTTAATAATTATTGTTAATTTATTAACACACTCTTAGTCATAAAAGTTAGTATCACTTAAAACGAGCCATATTTTACTCAACTTAAAAAGGTTCTACATGTAGAACCTTTTTATTATTCAACGTCATATCCCACTAATTTGTCATTTACTAACTTTATAACAAACAGATAATTGATAATCAAGTTTCATTATATTCAGTATAAAATTTTGTACATAGAGTTATATCATAGAGTTAAATATTAGATTTCTGAATAGAGGCTACAAAAATAAAAATTACTTTGAATTTAAAATCGTTATCCCCAAAAGTCTAAAAACTTGCGTTAGAACTTTTTTATTCTAGAGTGAAAATATTAATAGGGCTTGAATTATTTGAATTAAAATTAAAAAATTAATTTAGAAATTAACCAAATATATTATATTTAGGCACTGAAACTGTTTGATATTTTTGGGTTTTCGGTTTTAGAACACGATTTTTGTTTATGTTAGAAAACTCGATTTTGATGGTTTTTTAGAAAAACGGTTTCAGTCTATATATAATATTTATATGCATAGACTGAAATTATTCAGCTTGATTATGGTTTCGGTTTAAAAAACGATTTTGGTTGTATATGGTTTTGGGAAAGAAATAAAAAATTGTCTTATGCATAAGAAAGGAATTTAATGCCTTAAATTCCCCCGAAAAATCCTGAGCATGATATAAATATTATTTATCAACTAAGTGATATGATTAATGATTTTTATTGCAGTAACTTTTAAATTTAAGTGTAAATAGTTGATCTATTAATGAATGATTTTATTTAAAGTACTTACCATTCTTAAATTCCAATAGTATTATAACATTTTAAAATTTCATAAATATGTTAACCAATTTTAATCTCTATGAAAGTGCTTATAAATTAAGTTACATAATTGTGTTTAAATAATTATATTTTATAAAATACAGTATACATAACACATATTACATATTTAATGACAGTATACATAATGAGCGAAGATGACAATAAATAATTAATTATTTATCTATGCAACAATACAATAAGTATTTTAATTCGAGGATAAAGAATCGTATCGACTAATGCCTTACTATACAGTTAAGTGAAATTCAATTTTTTCTCCATTTAAGGTAATAGAAAAATGTAATTGATTTAATAAAGTTAAATTAATTGATAGTCAATGAATGGCGTATTCAGGATTTTAGAGGAGCAATTTTCAATTTATATTTATATATGAAAAATATCTTTAGTAACACTTAAAAATTTGAACAATAAAATTACTTTTATTGTAACATGACATAATAACAAGGTCGGATAGACTAACTAAGCGAAATAGAAAAAAAATTGGCCTGCATCAAATTTTGCTCATCAATTCAATTATTTCAGACAAATTTAATGAATTACGTTAACATTAAGAGAGTCTCAATAATATAAATATTTAAATTTTTCATTTATAATAATGTAAACCCCTCTGGTTAATTAATTTAAATTATACCAACACCTTTAAACATTTTACCAATTATCCGTTTATAATTTGTGTTCTATATGAGTTTGTTGTACAATCTGAAAAAAATTAAATTTTAATAAACCTGCACTTTTCAGTACTTTGCCGGTCCATTGTCGGCTTTTTAATCGTAAGCATAATGATCACCGGCCCACTATGATGTAGCACAGTATCACAATAGGACAGTTTGTCCCTGCATATTAAATTCAATATTTGTTTTAACGAGAAGTTACTATTAATTAACTACTAAGAATATTTTAATATAGTCAGGATTTATGATCTACTGTTATCTTCTCTAAACATAGTAGTTTAAATATTTTCGATTAAAAATTAGAGGTTGTTAATTAATTAATTAATTTTTGCGTAGACGATAACATTTTTTTTTTTACTTATTATTGTTTTTATTTGCCTGATATAATAAATAATATCTATAAGGAAAAATATCACTCGGATATGAGGTTGTGAGGAAATTGCTCTATTTGCTCCCCTAGTAAACACGCCACTCCTAATAAAATGTATCGACGCCAAAATGGTATACCATTTTAAAATTAAAAAATACATTATATATCGGTTAAAATAGACAAATAATCGGAAAATCCCAATTTTGATTGACATTCCTTGAATTCCTGACCCTCGAAATTAAACAATGATAAACGCTATGTTAGCTACAAAATTAATTTAATACAGTAAGGAAACTATTATATCTGTATTAATATAAATTCAAAATACTAACAACATATTTATCAGTACATTTTGTCTATAATTTAAATGTCTTTGAAAGTATATACAGCCGTTACTATAACGAAATTCTATCAAAAAATATATGCCTTACTTGTTATCGTTCTTTACTTTCATAAAATATGTATAAAAACTCGATAGTATAACTCCAACAACCTTAAAAATATCATAAAAGTTCTGGATTACATTTTGAAAACGATAAAATATTTTTATATAAATGGTGATAACAGGTTGATTTAAGTTTTTTTATATTTACAATCTCAACTTTCAAACTGTTTTCAAGAAAATTTCGACATTTTAAAAACGAGTTAGAAACTTTTAACTTACGGATTACATCATTTTTAAATACAATCATTTACGGTTATCATTTAAAAATATTTAATGAAAGTAAAATTTTCCTTGATCATTAACCTTTAAGTTTCAGTCCTTATACACAACGACTTGAAATCGATTCTCATATAACCTCGAGACTCGTTACACTATTCTACAATCTGCTCTTTATAAATATTAATAGTATTAAAAAATAATTGTCGTGTTACAATAATACTATGTATTGTAAGTTATAAGAAAAACTTCATTGTCAACTTTTATTGAAACACTCATGAATTGTAAAAAATATACTTGTAATTTAAGCTGTCAATATAATGTGTCATTTTTAAGTACAGAGGGACAATTTACTTTAGGTTTAATCATTAAAATTAAATTCAACAAATGAATATCGTCGCTTGTCAAAATTTCCTATAGTGTATTGTATATTTTTCGTTTATTAGTACATATTATTGATTCAATCTAAAATCTCGCTTCAAATCTTCACACTTAATATTCAACAGGAAAGGTTTTGTTTATTTTTAAAAAATAATTGAAAATACTTAGGATTAAAAGTTAACATAATATAATTTAGAATAAATTCATTACCTGCAATAAAGCAANCTTAGAATTAAAAGTTAACATAATATAATTTAGAATAAATTCATTACCTGCAATAAAGCGAATGTTAAAGCAACATATTTGATGACGTTCATTCGATTTTTTATTCGATTGCCTAAAACATTATAACAACCTTTTTGATATATTATTCTTTCATCGTATAAATTACGACATAATGCTCCAGACTCTAGTGGTAAATTTTGGCAACATGATACAGGAACTTGATTTTCTGGGAATATAATTAACCAATCTTTTGGCGTATCCACCCCACAACACTCGAGCTAAGAAAACAATTATGAATAGTAACTCATGGATAATATAAAACAGTTAATTGTTATGCTAACGGACTTTTCGCTGTACGTTGGTCCAGGCTTGACGATCAGTATCTTCAAACGAATATCTTCCCATTGAAGACTTAAAGTTATATCTTAGACTATCATTATAATTTTCTTTAGATATAGAAGAGAAAACTGCCAAGAGAACTTCGATTACCAAAATCAATAAAAGAAGTACGGTGAACTAAAAATATTTTCGTGGAGTATTTAGTAATAATAATAATTTAATTATAACATTTATTTTGTAAAATAAACCATATACCACTATTAAAATGTAGTAGTTTTGCTTTTCTATACTATAAAATCCAAATATGCAAACAAATATGACAATTAAGCCTAAAAGTATAAATATTATTGGCGGGATGGTAATAGATGAATTCAAGTAATTTAAAAATCGTCCTAAGTCGGCTATAACTATGATTCCAATTGTTATTAAANAAAATCGTCCTAAGTCGGCTATGACTATGATTCCAATTGTTATTAAAGCAACACCTGTAACCTAAAATAAAAATTGTGAAGTACATAATTAATAATACTTTTTATACTTTATATCTTTTTAATATAAATTATAATATATATATATATATATACAAGGCACTACTACTACTTATTCTCTACATCAAAAAAGTTTTATTAGTAAAAAATGTTAAATGTAGTGAATTTTATAGTAAAAAAAAATAAAATGAAATTTCCAAATAGAGAAATACCTAATAATTCTTTATTTATTTATAATTATAATTTAATGTAAAGCTCTAAAAGTCTTTTTAGAAGCACAGTAAGAGTTTTTACATGGAAGGTTGAGTTAGGTTAGGCTCACTTTAATCTTTAAACACTGGACCAAATTTAGAGTTATTGGCCTTTGTAATAAAACATGCCCCTGGAATCCCTTGAGATGCCCTAGAGTAGGTCGTAAATTACTCTGTATAAAATACTTTATACTTACTCCAAGTATTACATTAAAAATGTATAACAAAAATTTAACTAATTTCAAACTTGCAGAATCCATTTTTAGCTATTAAAACCTAAAAATAAAATAGAATATTGTAGATTTAAAAACAGATATTTCTATCCACAACTAATTTTCAAGAACCGTAAAAAAATAATATAGTGAATTAGCATTAAAATTAAATTGTGTGAATAAAAAAATTACTTACATTAGTTTATAACTTTTAAAAATACACTGTACAATTTGACGGTTATATTTTTATTATTATTAACCAAAATTAAATAATTGATAAAGGTGATTATTTAAATAAAAATTTTTTATTCTAAAAAAACTATTTTTCTCAAAGTTACTACTACATGCCATAATAATCAACCAAAAATATAAAATGAATCTAAACGGTAAAATGTCGAAATAAATGGATAGTAAGTGATTAGCACATTGGACATTTTAATATATATTTTTATAGGCGCAACTCATAATATATTCTTTTTCTCATAGTTGTCTAGGTGATAGTTACTATAAACACGTGTA